AAGTTGGCAGAAAGCCAACAGCAGAGAATGTTTTCCCTATGAGGAAAAAAGACGTCTTCAAAGGTCTTTTGGAGTTTGTAAGTGGTTGCATATATTAGGCTAAACTTTTTCAGATACAAGTGACAAACCAGTTCAACCTGGAGTAAAACAAAAAAGGGAACATACCTGATCACTTTCCTAAAAAGTCCTGGAGTGGTAGCTGGATCCAGGTGCAAGCAATCTCAGTTTTAATCTAGGCTCTGCTTCACTCTGTGATGACTTCATTTTCATTCCACTCCCACCACATACCTGACCTGAAAACCTGAAGCTGTTTTCCTAATATTTCCAGCCAAAGACTCAGGATGGACTTGAAAGTGAGCAAAACTGAGGGGAACACTCATAGTTTGTGAGTTCTTCACCTGTGTGCTCATAATTGAAAGACATGGCTCAATTTCAGGGTGCAGCAGCAACAGGATTTATAAAGGGAGGTTGGGATGAGTTCCTGAAGCCACAAATGTTCAGCTTTCCTACCCCAGATAGGGGTAGGTAGTCCACCAAAAGCTGCTCATGCAAGGTAGTGTTGTCCCTCTGTGAGCCTGGAATAGGTGGCACACAGGCAAGCAGTGGAACCAGGATCCAACTAGCCTATGGCTACTGGGGGTAGTCCCAGGTGCTGCTGAGGCAGCACGGCAACAGCTTCTCTCCTGAAGCCCAAATCTCCCTCCTGAAGCAGAGGTCAAATTTCTTTCTGAAGCTTCTTCCAAGCTGAGTGTAGTGCCAGCAAGGCACAGTGCAGGTCCTCTATTGATTCAGGCAGATGGGTAGAGGAGTCCTGGAGCCGTCAATGACTTTTTCAGGCTTTTGGTGCTCTTTGTACACCATTTGTAGTGAGGTAACCAGCTGCTGGGTGGGCAGGGGTGCTGGGGGGGCCAGGAGGCTGACAAACCTCTTAGCCCCCGGCGAATCTTTACTCTTTCTGAGCTCTCTGGCATTCTTTCGTGGTCTCTTCTGCACCCCACTGCATGGTCCTCTGCCGCCCAGTCCTCTGCTACCTCAGCCCTTATATGCTCAGTCTCCCAGCTCAGCTGTGCCCACTTAAGCACAACCACCCATGCTCTAGGTACCACCATTAGGCATGCGTATAAGACCACATGTATGGATCACTGATGCTAATGGCAGGATGGTGGAAAAAACTGCTAACTTCAATTTACCCTACACTGAGTAGGGTAAATTTACCCTACCTCTTTTCCAACCCAAGTCTCCCAAGCAGTCTCAAGCCTCTCCTCTCAAGCCAGCTCTGTCCCTCTCTGAAGCTAGGGCTTATCTGCCTCCTCAAATCTGATTGGTCCACTTTCCAAACCAGCTGTTGCCAAGACTTAATTGGTGCTGGGCCAAGCTTGAACCTAGTTGATGCCAATTAGGTTCAGACTTGTTTAGGAACTCAGACCTATTAGATTCATTTTCAAAACCAGCTCAGGATTCAAAACCCAAACCCTGATCATGTGTCCTTCCTGCCCTGTACTGTCTCACACCAGAGCTGCTCAGATAAACTCTGCTGTATCTGAATGGTGCTGGCCATCTTCAAATCTGACCCACAAACCTCCAATACCGTGAGGTTTTTCCTCTTGCATGGAACGTCCTGCCTATTCTTCAGAAGGGAGGGGAGTTATTTCAGCCACTGGGAAATGCCCCTCAACCTCTACTTCCACCACCAGCCCAAGGCTGACCTGGCGTTTTCCAAAACTGCTTTGTTAAAGGCATCTCGATAATTCACCAATTTTGTGTGCTCCCTGCAAGACCTGAGCTGATATTTCCTGGCTCAAGAACTTTTTAAAAAATATGTATTTATGCACAGAACAACTAGGGTGTAGGCCAAAGGTGCAGGGTGTAAGAAGATTCACCAGAGACAGAGTGGGGAGTAGAACAGGCAGATCTACTGAAATACACTGCTAAGAGGAGCAGCAGACAGAGTGGTCTGCTATATGTGGGTTAGCACCCTGACCAGGGATGCAACTCAGACCATAGCAGTGATAGCGGATAGTGCCAAGACAACCCCTAGGCCCTCTCAAGAACTTCCTATGACTCCCTCTGCCTACTTATATGGCCCTCCCACCTTTAACAATAGACACCAACATTGATGGATTCCTTACCATATGCCAGTTTTTTAATTTTTTTTTAAAGATTTATTTACTTATACAAGCACAGGGTACAGAGGGTGAGAGAATTCACCAGAGCCAGAGCAGGGAACAGAACAGACAGAAGGAACAGGCTGAGGGGAGCAGCGGGTGCCAGGAGAGGTCTGCGCGCCATGTGGGACCCTCGCCCGGTGGCTGGGGATCGAACCGACGCTGCAGAGGCTGCGGGCAGCTTCACAACCCAGCGCTCAACCGCTGCGCCACCGGGGAGGCCCAGTTTTTAAATTTTTTTTTTAAAGATTTACTGGGGTGTAGGGCACTGGGGTGTAGGGCAGGGAGGGGTGGTGGTGATGAGCAGATTCACCAGAGACAGAGTAGGGAGCAGAACAGGCACATCTACTGAAATATACTGCTGAGGGGAGCAGCAGCCAAGACAAGAAAGGTCTGCTGTGCCATGTAGGTCAGCTCCCTGGCTAGGGATCGAACTTTGGCTGCAGTGACAATTGATAGCTTCATAGCGCTGAGACTTAACCCCTTGCACCACCAGGGAAGCACCTATGCTTGTCTCTTTAAATGTGCTTTCCACCATTAGCTCCTCACAAATACCATATGAGGCTAGTACTCTTATTGTACTCGTTTTACAGATAAGGAAATGAAAGCAATTTGTGCTTTCCCAAAGTCAAAGTCAGGAAGCGCAAAGAACTCAGATTAGCACAATGTTGTTCCTACCACCAATGTTGGTATCACAGTTCCATTTGCTACTATTTCAAAGTGTTGTAGGGATAAATGGAGTTACTCAGGCTCTTTTTCATCTCCCACCACCAGTCTCTTACAGCCACCACCTGTGGTCCTACTTTCCACCCAGGTTTCATTGCCCACATGTTGGTGAAAAAAAATTCTTGAGAGCACAAGCATGGGGCACATGTAAACACCCAGGGCTGAGAACCCTGAGCATGGGGCGCACATGCCTACGATTACAAACAGCAGAGCAAGAAGCCGGAGAGCACAAGGCGTGCAGACCTATAAGTACGGAGGCCCTGGGTGGAAGACCACTATGAGATTGCAAGGGAAAGGAGGAGGGAGAGGAGGAAACGGGAGAGTAAGAAACCAGAGGGAGCGAGGTGATCACGGGCTGAAGACTCAGTTACTGCCTCTCCCTGCTTGCTGGTCTGTCTGTACCTGGTCCCCTGTTCCAACATTAAAGGCCTGTCAAATCTACTGAGGACTCTGAGATTCTTTTCTGTTTGCCTGAGTCCACAATGAACCTGCCCTGTGCATGGTTTAGTGCCCCACATGGCCACCACTAGCGACAGTGCAAGATGTACAATGTAAGGAGCCTCTAGGGAGCTCTTCAGCTCCCTATTGGGGGACAGGGAGATACCTTTACCATCTTCCCTGTCCCCATGACTTCATGAGATTGGGAAAAAGAATTTCCCAAAGAAAATTAAAGTAACGAAGTGCATGGTAGGTGGCCCCAGGTCAGCAACAGATGTCATCCCATTGATAATTTTTTTCCTATGGCTGTTGTTACAAATTACCACAAAGTGGGTGATTTAAGAAAGACAAAATTATTCTTAGTTTTGTGGTCAAAATTCTGAGATCAGTTGTACTTGGCTAAAATCCAGGTGTAAAGGATTTGTTCTTTCAGGAGGCTCTGAGTAAATAACTCATGTCCTTGCTTTTTCACATTTTACCGGCTGCCTGTATTTCATTTATGGCCCCATCCTCCATTTTCAAAGTGTATCACTTCATCTCTTCTGATGGACCCCTCCTGTGCCCTCTTAACAGAAACATTGTAATAACATAGGGTCTACCTGGATAAAACTCAATCATTTTCCTCTCAAAAGGCTTAGCCTAATCACATCTTAAAAGTCTCTTTGACATGTAATGGAATATATTCATACATTCTGAGGATTAAATGAAAAAATCTTTGGGGAACATTGTTCAACCTACCATGGTAGATATAATCAGAGGGAGTTACTACAAAGTGCTCTGGAAACAGAGAAGTGTTGACCTCACGCCCCAAGAAACCACAGGTTTCAGATTAAGTATTCAAATGATCTTAAAACCCATCTAATTTGGCAATCTCAGCCTCATTCTTTAAATGTGCAAACCACCTATATACAAATTATGTGCCCCCTGCACCAGGCCAGCCAAGTTTCGGAATGCTTGTACATTCTTTTAATGGAAATCACCAATCACCACCTCTATTGTCTGGGGCAAAAGCTGTGTACCCCAATCCTGCTGGCTGGCTCACCAGTAGCATGTGAATCAAGGTGCTAGATTCAGGGTATGGCAAGCAAGTTCCAAAATTCAACAGAAGAATCAGAGGATTGAGAAGAGGCCTGGGGCCTTCCTGGTGGTGCAAGGGGTTAAGTTTCAGCACTATGAAGCTATCAGCAGCCACTGCAGCAGGAGTTCAATCGCTGGCCAGGGAACTAACCCACATGGTGCAGCAGACCTCTCCTGTCTCACAGGACTCTGCTGGGTATTATGTTTAATACAGTTGATGTCCCATGTCCCCTTCCTATTAATCAAGTAAAGTTTGAATCTTAACAACTTATATGACCCTGTGGTTTCTGCAATTATGGGCCTGTATCTTTAGGAAGGCGAGGATGAGAATTTAAAACTGGTGTGTAGAATACGCACCAAGGTACCTACCATTTCTTGAGGACCAACCATTGTCTATAAACCCCACTACTAACCTCGCTGTGCCCCTTTCCCCATAACTTTCCAAGAGCCTTTAGAATTTGTATGCAACTCACCCAGGTTGAGGTCAGGCATACAGCCTGAGCAACTTGCTGATAAAAGCAAGGTGGGGCTCCAAATGAAAGGCACACAACTTCAAGTACACACACACAAAAGGCATGTAACTGGAGAGCTGATCATCAAGCAGAAGCCCAAGTTCCAGGTTCCATTAGAGTTTTAATTGTGCATTAATGATTATGGAAAGAGCAATTGTTCCCAAAATCGAAATACAAACTACAAAAAAATGGGTTAAAAGAAAATGACAGCAGGGCTCATTTCTCGTGTGTTCAACCAGTGCTCATGAGAGAGCAGCACACACAGCCAGACGCTTTGTGGTGTTAGCATCCTCTGCTTCCTCTTCAAGATGACGCTTTTGACTTGTGGAAGGCTGGCGATAAAGGAAAAAAGAGAGCTGTTCAAAGAAAACCACTGGCTTCTTTAAGATGATCAGTTTCCTAAGATGCTTCTGGTAAATTTGGGACATTCCATGTGAAACTTCTAGTACCATAAATTACAGATTGTCCTCACTGACATCTGAATCCCCATCACACCTACCACTGCCACCCCAGATTCCAACAAGCTTATCATAATGACAGTTCTCTCCCTTGTGGCCTCTAACTGCTCAATGATATATACTGAAAGTAAGCAGTATAACCAGTCTCCTCTCAATAGTCCTCACCTAAATTATGGAGTTTTAAAAGGACTATAATACCTCTCACTGTAAGAAATACTCTCACTTGCAGAGATACTCCTTTGTGGGAGAAATAATCTCTTTATGTCTTTTATAAAACTACCAGAAGCAACTGGGAAGAGGAGTGTTATCATTCACCAAAAGAAGGCAGGAAAGGAATGAACAGATACTAATTTAGATTTACAAAGGCTTTAGAAGAATAAAATTTTAGTCAATAAATCATGAATCACTTGCCCAAAGTTAAAAACTTTTCAACAAATGTAAAACTGAGCCTCCAGCAGTCTTCTCATCTTGGCTTGCAGGAAACATCTTGAATGAAAATCCCTTGCTGTGCTTCTCTACTGCATTAAACATACTTTCCATTATCAACTCTAAGGGTGCTGGAGTAGATCAAGCCAAAACAAAGTATCTAATTACATGCATCCATTAAAAATGTTAAGCAATTGCTACTAAGGAGACTATTCAAACTCATGGCCCTTGCTCATCAGCATTTCAAACTGCACTACATTTAATGAACATTGGAATACCTGGGCTGAAACTGGGGATAGAGCTGTTGACTTATTTTCTTCAAATAGCAAATTATGAAACTTTCTCTTCATGTCCTCATCCTGTGAAGAAATGAAAAACATAAGCAAGCTATGTCTGAGGGAAGCAAAGTGCCTAGAAACATAGAGTTAGGGTGCTGCTGGCAATAGAGAAGTGAGCTGTCTGTCTACCAAGAGACATAATCTTGCCAAAGCTCCAAGCTCCACATATTCATCCCCTCTACATTCCTGGAATCATCTAAATACCAGCAGACAGTGCTCAACAGACACTGGCCGAATCAAATCCACAGGTCAAAAACCTCTCAGGTTGTCAGAGAACCACAAATCCTAACAGTCAAAACTTTCAGGACCTGCATTTCATCTCAGATCCTGAGATGGGAATCAGGACATCAGAGGCTACAACTTCCCAAATCTTTCCAGGTATCCCTTCCCACTGATTAATAAAATCAGTTTGTGGGGCCACTGTAATAATCCAACCCAGCACCCTAAGAAGAGTCACCCAGCAAGTGCTGTACAATTGGCCTGAAGTACGTCAAGCCCACAATATCCCAGATCTTAGGTAATGACAAAGGAAGATGAGACGTCAGTCACTCACTCAAGTATTGTGTTCAGAGCAATGCAGGTGTTTCTTGCTGCTGAAGAGAGAAATGATGAGAGGCAGACTACCCAGATGTGTATGAAGGTTACTCCAATATTCCTGGGCATTCATACTACAGGATACAAGGATTTGCATCTGGCCCTGAGAGGTGACCAGGTGCAGCTGCCCCCACCTTTGACAAGGTGAAATATCCATGAATAGGATTGTGAGCTTTGAGGCTGAAAAGAAGCCCATGTCAGTCATTCACTCAAGTAGTGTGTGCAGAATACAGACCCAGATATGACTGATTCCAGAGTTCCATGTAATTTCCCATACAACCCCCATACCACTCCTCCCACTAAGCCAAGTGCATCATGGTAGGTAAGGGGAGAGGATATAGGAGTGAAGGTTCTCAACATTCAGCAATTTGACAGATAAAGACAAATTGTAGTGCTCAAGAATTCATTTGCCTGTTTTACATCCAGCGTGAGTATCACCTGCTTCTATCATTATTTATTGAGTTACTCAGTGTAGCTCCCTAATGCCCATTTTGAGCGTGCCAAGTTGATGTGGATTCCACTCTGCACTCTCCCTTAGGATCTCACTTCTCAAGCAGTGCCACTCCCATAGGCTCTGCCCTTATTTTCTCCTATTCCTGCTCATAGCCTCCACCATGAATGTCTGCCTTGTCTATCTGTCCACCTTACTTACCTTCTCATTCACTCAAGGAACAAATATTTCCTAAACAGCCTTAGAAGTCAGACCCTGTCTCACCTGTTGTTCCCCTCAGCAGTGTATTTTCAGTCAATCTACCTGTCCTGCTCTCTACTATGTCTCTGTTGAATCCTCTTACCTCCACCCCCTCCATACACACACACATCTGGCCTATACCCCAGTTCTTGTATGCATAAATAAATCTTAAAAAAACAAAAAGAAACCTGCACCTCTATGTTTGTTACAGCACTATTTACAATAGATAAGCTATGGAAACAACCCAAATGCCCAAAAATAGATGGATCAAGAAGATGTGATATATATACACAATGGAATATTACTTAGCAATCAAAAGATAAACTTATGCCATTTGCAAAACATGGATGGAACTGGGAGGAATCATGCTCAGCAAAATAAGCCAGAAAGAAAAAGAAAAATATCGGATGGTTTCACTTATAGGAGGAATGTAGAGCATCCAAATAAGGGATCAGGGGGAAAAAAGTTATTATAATAAAGTGGAAATCAAAATCAACAAGCAACTATAAACCAGAGACATTTTGTAGGGGGGAGAGAAAGGAGTAGGATGAAAACAGGGCTGGGAAGAGCACAGGGGACTGTGGTGATGGTGCACGGGTGAACTGGTAGTGGGAATTTCATGGGGACTATAACCAAGATGAGAAAGCATACATTGTAAAAAAAAAAAAAAAAAAAAGAAGAAGAAGATGTAAAAAATATATAAAATTAAAAAAATAATAATTTTGAAGGAAAAAAAAAAACACAACAGTGTATCTCCTCCCCAATTTATATATGGAAGCCCTAACCTCCAGTAATGTGACTGTATCTGGAGAAAGGAGCTTTAAAGAAGTAACTAAGTCAAAATGAGGCTGCTGGGGCCTCCCTGGTGGCACAAGGGGTTAAGTCGCAGCACTATGAAGATACCTGCAGCCACTGCAGCACAAGTTCGATCCCCAGGCAGGGAGGTGACCCACATGGCGCAGCAGACCTCTCCTGTCTTGCCCGCTGCTCCCCTCAGCAGTGTATTTCAGTCAATCTGCCTGTTCTGTTCCCCACTCTTCTATGGTGAATCCTCTCTCACACACACACACACCCCTCTGGGCTGTCCCCCAATTTTTGTATGCATAAATAAATAAATCTTTAAAAAAACAAAAAACAAAATGAGGTTGTTGGGAAGGAGAGGGTATTAATACAATATCACTGGCATCCTCAAAACAAGAGAAAAGGGGCCTCCCTGGTGGTGCAGCGGTTGAGCACTGGGTTGCCAGGCTGCCCGCAGCCTCTGCAGCGCCAGTTCGATCCCCGGCCACCGGCAAGGGTACCACATGGTGCGCAGACCTCTCCTGCAGCCTGCTGCTCCCCTCAACAGTCTGCCTGCTCTGCTCTCCCCTCTGGCTCTGGTGAATTCTCTCGCGCTTCTGACTGTGCCCAGTGTTTGCATAAATAAATAAAATAAATATTAAAAAAAAAAACACAAGAGAAAAGACTGCAGGGATGTGACCACACAGAGAAAAGGCTGTGTGAGGACAAAGGGTGGCCACCCACAAGGCAAGGAAAGGTCTCAGGAGAAACCAAGATGCTGACACCTTGAAACTGGACTTCTAGCCTCCAAATCTCTGAGAAAATAGATGTCTATTGTTAAGCCACCCACTCTGTAGCATTTTGTCTGGCAGCCAGAGAAAACAAATAAGCCCATGGCGTCCCAGACCACGTAAGTCTTTATACCATCCTCATAGGGGCTAATAAGCCCGTGGGTACCTGAAAGCTGAGGGCAGTGACACCAGTCATCCCAGTGATGTGCCATACTAGGCATCCAGCCCTGCTACCCCATGCATCATACCACTCCACCAGACTGTCAGCTTCCCAAAGCCAGGCCTCCTCCTTAAACCGACAGTGCCTAACAGTGCTTGACACATGAACTCATTAACTGTCCTCTGACAGAATGAATGCATGAAGACATGAAACCCCAATAAAGTGCCCCTGATGTGGCAGTTCTTCAGTGTGGCAGAAGGGAGTTGACCACATGGCTATCTGGACCTGCATTTAAAAAAAGGCATCAAGGGGCCTCCCTGGTGGCTCAAGGGGTTAAGCACCACACTATAAAGCAGTCCGTAGCCTCTGTAGCACGAGTTCGAATCCCGGCCGGCCAGGGAGCAGCCCATATGGCGCAGCAGACCTCTCCTGTCTCGCCTGCTGTTCCCTTCAGTGGTGTACTTTGGTTGATCTGCCTGTTCTGTTTCCCACTCTGTCTCTGGTGAATCCTCTCACCCCCCGCATCTCTGGCCTGTACCCCAGCTCTTGTATGCATTAATAAATAAATCTTTAAAAAGAAAATAAATAAAAAATAAAACAAGCCATCAATAATGATAAGAAAAAAGTACTCATCAGGCCATACACAGGAATGTGTATCTATAAATATCCCTCCTTTGAAATGTCCACAATCTATTCAAAAACTATACATTATAATATGCCTCAAAGACAAGAAGGAAATAATTAATTTCAGGCAGTGACCATGAGGGAGAAAGTGGATACAAGGAATGCTCCTCAAACCAGATACTCTGTTTATGACAACACAGAGGCTGAAACTCACATTGCAAACACTCAATCTAGTGCCAAAATGAAAAAAAAAAAAAAAAAAAATTTGTTTTTTTTTTTTTTTTTTTTTTTTTTCAGAAACATTGAATTTTTCCCAAAATAAAACCAGATTGATCACTAGATGGTTTACTGGGGCAATTGTGTCCTTGTCCTCCTGAAATATTTACTCCACCTTTTGCTGCAAAAACAAAATGTGGACAAGAGAGGATTTAAGTGAGACCCCTGTGGCAGGGATGACTTTCACCTTTTTCTTGCTTGTTAATAATAGCTTTCTTTTGAGACAAAAAGTACAAGAAAAATAGGCTATGTCTATTCATAAACTTCGGGCAAATGCAAACCCTGTTCCCAGGTCCTCCATTTTTCTCAAAGCTAATACAGCTCCTCTCCATCCAGATTTGGTCCCCAAGAGTTTCCCTATTAGGGCACATGAAAAGACCCAAGAGGCATGTTTTTCTTTTTTCATCAAAATTAAATCCCCACATGCAAAGGGCACCCTTTGTTTCCAAATTCCTTTTCTCAAGGATCCTGCTGTTTCAAATCTGTGAGGTCTATTAAGTGCTAAATCATCTGGCAGATTTCTTGGGGGGACTGCTGTTTCCAGGGCAACAATTCAAACACACATATCTATTTTTTTCTTCTTTTAAGGATTTGTTATTCCAGCCCAAGCTGGCCTGAGCAAAACCGTTAGGGGTAGAAGGTTGGAAGAAAGCCTGGGACAGTCTTCCCAGAGTCCCAGAACACAGTGCAGAGACTGGATGGCAGAGGAGTTGCTGGACCAGTCATCCTCAGGGTAGCAGTCTCCAGTTCAAGTTCCCACAAAGTACAGAAAGACCAAATGAAGGGCAGCAGAGGTATAGGTGTGCTCATTGGCACGTACACTTAACAGAAGATCTGACATCCCTCAGGGATGATTAGGCCAACAAAGTCACAAAAGACTTCCAACTCTGGCAGCTGGAATGAGCTCAGCACATAATCTAATGGGAGCCACACCCCCAGCAGGGACTCGGAGGTAATGCAGACTTGAAAGGTGCAGGTAACAGTCTGCACCAATGACACACTTGTGCATCATGAACTACAAGTGGGACCCATTATGTCCAATCACTTATGCTTAAGAAATAGCTGGATTCTCCCCCAGGAAGGCTGCCCTCCTCTCCTTCCTCCTCCCCCTGCTTCCCTGATTTAAGACTGAAAATTGTATGTGAAGGGTTGAGGGAGGAGAGTTGAGGGAAGAAGGGACACAGCTTAGGGTGGAGACGCAGAGCTAGAACAAATTCTCAAAGGAACACAGCCAAATTGTAGACTCAGGGACCAAGTTTGGAACTAAGATAGCCATTAAGTGAACCTGTCCATCAAAGAGCCATCAGTAAAGTTGAAAAGGTTGCAGTCTCCCCAACAGATACACCCACATACACATGCCCCATATACCTTGAGCTTGATCTAAAGCAATCTCACTAAACAGAACAGACAAAGCAAATACTATGTGTTTTCACGCTCTTTTTATCTCTCAGATAGTTCTTCAGGTGCCCCATACCCACCTGAAGCCATGGGTGTCTTAAGGCTTCTTCTGTTGTAAAACGTGTCTTTGGATCCACTACCAACAACTTCTTGACAAGGTCCAGAGCTAGAGTATTAAGACAATTTGGCAAATCACAGTGAAAAGAAATAAGTACAATCAATTAGCTACATTAAAGTATGCCAGAATCATAGGTCAACATACAGAAAGAGGAGAGAGGGGCAAAGATCATCAGGAACTCAGCAGGTATGGTGGGCAGGACCCTCTGATCTTCCTTACTCACTCTCTGTACTCATCAAGAGTGGCCTGAGAACACCAAGAATTATTATGCTCCCCATGTCTCCATCACAGTTACCTCTTAACTCTGTTCTCTCTCTCGGTGTTGGACTCAAGTTCAAACTAATTAAAGCTGAACTTCCACCCAGTTCTACAACACTCACAGCACTCAGTGTTTTGGAACTCTCCCTAAGACCCGTGCATTGAAGGTAAGAGTTCCTAAGTTAAGGAGAGGCTCCTTGGAAATAACAGACCTCCCAGAAACAAAGCTGGACAATCAGCAACAAGTAGAGGCTGGCTTGAATACTGCAACCTTACTCCTTTCACTTACCGCAATAATCTGGACACTAAACACAATAATCTATGCTACATTATTTGACATTCAGTTTTAGTGTGGGATTTTTTTTCCTTTGGGATATACAAAGTTGCATTTTTAAGTTCTAAACCACAAAGTGACTACTAACATGGAGCTCTTACTATATTTACTTACTTAAAAAAACCTTGTTACTAAAAGTCAACTTACTACTTTGCTTAAATAGGTACCAGGCATTTGTGTATGTCACATTTAACCTTCTCAAAAACCCTTTAAAGTTAAGAGTTACGGTGCTCCCTTCACAAAAAAAGGAGGGGGGAAATGAAGACAGAGAGGTTAAGTGACTTTTCTGAGGGTCACAGAGCTAAGAAATAGCAGAGCCCAGACTTTAGCCTCTTTCTGCCTGGCTTTGGGGCTAATGTTCTTTTTTTTTTTTTTTTTTTTTTTTAATTTGTTTGTTTCTTTGTTTGTTTGTTTGTTTTGTTTATACATGCACTGGGTACAGTCAGAAGTGCAGGAGGGTGAGAGAATTCACCAGAGCCAGAGCGGGGAGCAGAGCAGGCAGACTGACGAAGTATGAAGTACACTGCTGAAGGGAGCAGCGGGTGGCAGGAGAGGTCTGTGCGCCATGTGGGACCCTCACCGGGTGGCCGGGGAGCAGCCGGGGATCAAACCGGCACTGCAGAGGCCACAGGCAGCTTCGCAACCCAGCGCTCAACCGCTGCGCCACCAGGGAGGCCCGGGGCTAATGTTCTTAACTAACTTCTTTTGTCTCTCAAATGGTGCAAAAGTAACAGAAAAGAATAAAAGTGACAGGAGAAAATAATCACAGGATTGAAAAAGAAACTCCCACCACAGCATATACACAGATTTTAGCAAAAGCAAATTCTTAATCCTTTTGTAACCATACCCTGCTCTGAGACCTCTGCCCAGATCTTGGGAACGAAGTTGTATTTTCCACTGGTGATCTGATCCTTCAGTGACATTTGATTCTTAGCATCAGAGAAAGGTGGATACCCACTCAGGCTTAATATTGGTAGAAAGAGAAAGGAAAATAAATCAAGTGGCATTCTCAGTGGCATTTGGATACACAGATTTCTTTTTCAGCATAATGAAAGATTAGATTTTTCTTTAACTAATGGTAAAAAAAAAAAAATGACCTAAATTATACACAAGTCCAATTATACCTGGACACGTATCTGATTGCACTGAATTACCTCCAACCAGACTCAAGCAAAGAAAACTTTTCTTACCAAATAAAAAGAATCACTCCCAAACTCCAGCAGTCTACAGCACGGTTATAACCAGCAGTCTCAAAGGAAACAAGAACCTCAGGGGCCAGGTAGGTGGGGGTTCCACATAGGGTTTTCATGAGAGAGGTCTCTCCCAAAATCTTGGACTGCCCAAAATCAGTAATCTAAAATTAAGGACAAAAGGGAGTCATTTTTAATGATCACAAAAAAGATTAACATAGTCCACAGGTTCCAAAAGACATGCCTGCTAGATCAGCTTCTATCCTACAGTTCTTACCTGCTGTTAATCTGGAATCTACAAATTCATGTCTAATAGTTGCGAACAATACAACTTATTTTGCTTAAATTCCAGGTCCAAGGAATCTCAAGACCTAGGTTTTCCAAGTTGTCTATGATTTTTAATCTTTTAAGAGGTTACAAATAGGCTTAAGAGGCTAATTGCTGACACTCTAGGATTCTAGTTAGATAAATACATGTGGTTCCTCTTAGCCCCAGCTTCTCAACCTTGCCTGTACCCTAGAACCATAAGGAGCCTGGGAAAAACATTTATACCTGGGTAGCAACTTCAAAGATTCTGAGGAAAAGCTTGAGTGTCATTATTTTTTTTTCATCAATAGGGGATGAGATTGAAAAGTGAAGCCAGGCTTGGGAAGCACAACTTTAGATGGAGGTAAAGGGGAAGACAGGGAATGTGATTCACTCATTTATCTAAAACCTTCCTCTTTCTCTCTGAATGTAAGTGACTTATACACAGTGGAACTCAATAAATGTGCATTAGAATCTGGATTGGAGCCATCGCACCAGATCTCTACAATAATTTTAAAATAATTTATTAAAGTTCTCAACCTTTTAATGCTCCCATTTTTTACTTGATTTATTTAAAAATTTTCTGAACAGAAACCTACTGTAGTTGTCACAAACAAAACATAAATTTATTACCTTTACCAGACAGTCCTCTTTTTGAGATGAGAGTAGAACATTCTCTGGTTTTAAGTCCCGATGAATAATGCCATTTTCATGAAGGTACTAGAAAAAAGGGATGGCGTGGACCTTAGATTTATGGATTAGGCACATGAACAGAGACAGACAGGCAGACACACACACATCTTACAGCTGGGTGAAACTATAAGCCATGTTATCCATACCATCTTTCTCAGAAAGATGGTGTCCTAGAAAACTACTGGGTAAAAGGGTTACTGTTTACAAATTTAAGGAAATCTCTGAAAAGCAGAAAAGGAAAAAGCAACTTATGGCAGTAGACCTTTTATTTCATGTTTTAAGATACTAAAAATAGCACATTGGCAGAAAATTAGTAATAAAAATATAAATGGGTGTTATAAAATATTTGGGGACCATTTAAAATAAACCACAAAAATTCCACAAAAGGGCCTCCCCGGTGGCGCAGTGGTTGAGCGCTGGGTTGCGAAGCTGCCCACAGCCTCTGCAGCGCCGGTTCGATCCCCGGCTGCTCCCCGGCCACTGGAGGAGGATCCCACATGGCGCGCAGACCTCTCCTGCCGCCCGCTGCTCCCCTCAGCAGTGTCCTTCGGTCCTTCTGCCTGCTCTGCTCCCCACTCTGGCTCTGGTGAATTCTCTCACCCTCCCGCGCTTCTGACTGTACCCAGTGCTTGTATAAATAAATAAATAAATCTTAAAAAAAAAAAAAAAATTAAAAAAAAAAAAAATTCCACAAAAATGATTTATGTGGTTTTTCTAACTCTGAGAATATTTTAAAGGGAATCTGTAAAATAAATATTTGTAAATTATCTGTTTAAATACCTAACATATTCCTAGAGACAAAGATTTAATCTTCAAAAACTTTATGGTATAAAATAGAATGTTGATGTATCTTTGTATTTTAATTATCACACACGGAGTCATTTCTCTAGAAAAAAATGTCCCCTATGGGCCTCCCTGGTGGTGCACGGGGTTAAGTCGCAGTACTATGAAGCTATCTGCAGCCACTGCAATATGAGTTCCATCCCCAGCCAGGGAGGTACCCACATGGCACAGCAGACCTCTCCTGTCTTGCCCGCTGCTCCCCTCAGCGGTGTATTTCAGTCAATCCACCTATTATGCTCCCTACTCTGTCTCTGGTGAATCCTCTCAACTTCCCCGCCCCCCTCCCTACATCTCTGGCCTACACCCCAGCTCTTGTATATATAAATAAATCTTTTCTTTTTTTAATTTCCCTTATGTCCACTGATCTGCACTCAATTCAACTTAACATTCTTGGCATAATGGAGGGAAATAAACTATTAAGAGAGTAAAGCACTGGTTAGGTGTTTATAGGTTTCAATTTCCTCTGGATATTCCTCTGGCCTGGAGCAAAAATTCCTCCAATACACTTTCACTGGGAAAGGAACCTAAAATGGGCAAGCCCAGGTAGATCAGCCCCAGGAAAATCTCCCTCAATCCTCACTTAATAAAAGAGAGGTTTCCAATCCTGCATTTTCTGTTTGGAGTAGGTTTTAAAGGAAGAAATCTTGGCATAGAGTTACCACAACCAAATTTGGTCTGAGAAACAATGATGGTCCTTGAAGCAGGCAGGGTGCCAGAGCTGTTCCTCCATCAATGTTTTCACCGGTAGTGAAAAGACAATGCCCATGCCTATCCACTGCAGGCTGCTATTTGTGGAGGAGCGATCTGTCACAACCACCCCAATTTGCCAATCTGACCCTCATATCTGCCCACTCCCACTCTGAGAAGTAAAGGGGATTTCTACAAGGATTGGACAAATGTAGGGAACAATGACCCTCCAGAATACCTCTAGGCTAAAGACACCTAGGACCTTGTGTTGATTTCTTTAACTCCCTCTTAAGCTGCACAGCAAGAACTTTCTCAAGTGAATCAGGGGAGATGTTTGCCAAGAGCAGAACACACAGACACACTGTTCTCTGGATTTGCATTCATGGTCCTTCAGTTTCTGCCTAACTCAGGAAGTAATCCCCCTAAAAGAAAGAAGGCTGTCGGGCCTCCCTGGTGGCACAGTGGTTGAGCGCTGGGTTGCGAAGCTGCCCGCAGCCTCTGCCGGTTCGATCCCCAGCTGCTCCCCGGCCACCGGAGGAGGATCCCACATGGCGCGCAGACCTCTCCTGCCACCCGCTGCTCCCCTCAGCAGTGTACTTCAGTCCTTCTGCCTGCTCTGCTCCCCGCAATGGCTCTGGTGAATTCTCTCACCCTCCCGCGCTTCTGACTGTACCCAGTGCTTGTATAAATAAATAAATAAATCTTTAAAAAAAAAAAAAAATCTTTAAAAAAAAAAAAAGAAATGTGTTAAAAAAAAAAGAAAGAAAGAAAGAAGGCTGTCAAAAGAACTGAGGGCTTCTCGTACCTGTACAGCCAGGAGCATCTGGTAAAAATAAAGTTTGCATGTAGCTTCCTTCAGGCGCTTATTCACCACCCTGTCAAACAGCTCTCCTCCTTCCATCCTGAAACACACAAGCAAAGTATGGAGCTCATTCCTGGTGGGGGAGGGGAGGAAGGGCTCACTTGGATAAATAATAACACAAACAAAACAAACTTATTAACACAGACAATGAGAGCCATTTTTATTCACTCTTGAATGCTATTTTTAAGGCAATGAGGTAATACATACCTCATCCACAATGAGGATGCCCCTGTTGGAAACTAAGGAACAAGAAAAGGTGGAAGGGGATCATTCTCCAGGATCGATCATACACTGGGACACAAGACAAACATCAACAGATACACCAAGATTGAAATCATACCAACCATCTTTTCTGACCATGAAGGCATCAAACTAGAAATAAACCATAAAAATAAGGCAAGGAACTCTCCTACCTCATGGAGATTGAAACCCACACTACTGGAAGACCACTGGGCTCATGAGGAGATCAAAGAAGAAATTAAAAAATTCTTCGAATTGAATGACAAGGAGGACACCAATTTCCTAAATGTATGGGATGCAACAAAAGCAGTAATAACAGGAAAATATATAGCAATAGAGGCTCACATCAAGAAACAAGAAAGAACTCAAAGAAACAACCTACTCTCGAAGCTCAAAGAACTAGAAAAAGAACCAAAAAAACCCAAAACCAGTAGAAGAAAAGAAATAATAAAAAATAAAGCAGAAATAAATGCAATCGAAACTAAAAAAACAATCCAAAAGATCAATGAAACCAAGAGCTGGTTCTTCAAAAAAATAAATAAAATAGACAAACTCCTAGCCAGGCTCACAAAGGAAAAAAGGGAGAAAGTACAAATAAACAGGACCACAAATGAAAGAGGAGAAATCACAACGGACACAGCAGAAATCAAAAGAATAATCAGAAACTACTATAAACAGTTATATAGAAACAAGTTCAACAATCTAGAGGAGACAGACAAATTCCTACAACTCTACTATCACCCAAAGCTAGATAAGGAAGAAATAGAACACCTAAACAGACCAATCACAAGCAGTGAAATTGAAATGGTAATCAAAAACTTCCCAAAAACAAAAGCCCAGGACCTGATGGATTTACAAATGAATTCTACCAAACATTCAGAAACGAATTAGTGCCTATCCTTCACAAACTCTTCCAAAAAATTGAGAAGGAAGGGACAATACCAAACACGTTCTATGAAGCCAACATTACACTAATACCAAAACTGAACAAGGACAACACAAAAAAAGAAAACTACAGGCCAATCTCCCAAATGAACACTGATCCAAAAATCCTCAATAAAATTTTAGCTATCAGAAACCAACAATGTATCCATAAGATAATTCACCACGACCAAGTAGGATTCATTCCAGGGACACAAGGATGGTTCAACATCCAAAAATCAATCAACGTTATCCAACACATCAACAAAAAGAAATATAAAAACCATATGATAATATCAATAGATGCCGAGAAAGCTTTTGACAAAGTGCAACACCCATTCATGATAAAAGCCCTTGAAATTCTTGGGATACAAGGAACATACCTCAACATCATAAAGGCCATATATGACAAGCCAACAGCCAGTATCATTCTCAATGGTGAAAAGCTGAAAGCATTTCCATTAAGACAAGGATGTCCACTCTCACTACTGCTTTTCAATATAATACTGGAAGTCCTAGCCAGAGCAATAAGACAAGAGAAAGATATACAAGGAATCCAAATAGGAAAAGAAGAAGTCAAACTATCACTATTTGCAGATGATATAATAATATACATAGAGAACCCCAAAAACTCCACAGAAAAACTAATTCAACTAATCATTCAGTTCAGTAAAGTGGCAGGATATAAAATCAACACGCAAAAGTCAGTAGCCTTCCTATACACAAACAATAAATCTGAAGAGAAATAAAAAAAAAAACCATCCCTTTTATTATCGAAACAAAAAAAATCAAATACTTGGGAATAAATCTAACAAAAGAGGTAAAGGACCTATACAAAGAAGACTATAAAACACTGTTAAAAGAAATAGAAGAAGACACAAAGAAATGGAAAGACATCTCCTGCTCATGGATTGGAAGAATAAACATTATTAAAATGGCCATCCTACCAAAAGCAATTTACAGATTCAATGCTATTCCAATAAAAATTTCAATGCCATTCTTCGAAGAAATAGAACAATTATTGATGAAATTCATATGGAATCACCAAAAACCCTGAATAGCCAAAGCTCTTCTGAAAAAAAAAAAGAAGGGAATGGAGGCATCACACTCCCAAACTCAAACTATACTACAAAGCCATAATCATCAAAACTACATGGTATTGGAATAACAACAGACATACAGACCAATGGAATCGAATAGAAAATCCAGAAATAAACCCACAGATTTATGGTCAACTAATCTTTGACAAAGGAGCAAAGAATATGAATTGGAGCAAAGAAAGTTTGTTCAATAAATGGTGCTGGGAAAACTGGGTCGCTACATGCAAAAGAATGAAGATTGACTACTACCTCACACCATACACAAAAACCAACTCAAAATGGATTAAAGAACTAGACATAAGACCTGAAACCATAAAATACATAGAAGGAAATATAGGCGAAACACTCCATGATATGCACATCAAAGACATCTTTACAGACACATCACCCAAAGCAGTGATAGTGAAGGCAAAGATAAACAGCTGGGACTACATCAAATTAAAGAGCTTCTGCACAGCAAAAGAGACAAAAACAAAGAGAAACCCCACCGACTGGGAGAACATTTTTGCACACAACACTAATGACAAAGGACTGATCACAAAAATCTACAAAGAGCTGATGAGACTCAACAAAAACAAAGAAAATAATGCAGTCAAAAAATGGGCAGAAGAGCTAAAAAGAAACTTCTCTGAAGAGGAAATGCAAATGACCAACAGGCATATGAAAAAATGTTCAACATCACTTGTAATCAGAGAAATGCAAATCAAAACTACAATGAGATACCATCTTACACCAGTGAGAATGGCACATATAAAAAAACTAGCAACAACAAATGTTGGCGAGGTTGTGGAGAAAAAGGAACTCTCCTGCACTGTTGGTGGGAGTGCAAACTGGTCCAACCACTATGGAGAGCTGTGTGGAGATTTCTGGACCTACTTAACATAGAGCTTCCATATGATCCAGCAATTCCACTCCTAGGTATTTACCCAAAGGACACAGAAACAGCAATTCCAAAGAGCACCTGCACCCCTATGTTTATAGCAGCACTATTTACCACAGCTAAGCATTGAAAACAACCCAAATGCCCAAAAATAGATGACTGGATCAAGAAGATGTGGTACATATACACTATGGAATATTACTCAGCATTCAAAAAAGATAAACACATGCAATTTGCAGCAACATGGATGGAGCTGGAAGGGATCATGCTCAGCGAAATAAGCCAGAAAGAAAAAGGAAAATACCGGATGGTCTTACTCATAGCAGGAATCTAGAAAACTTAAATAAGGGACCAGGAAAAAGAATAACTATAAGAAAGAAAATATCAAAATCAACAAACAACTATGAACCAGAGACACTCTATGGGGCGTGGGGGGTTGGAAGGGGAGGGATTGGGGTCAAAATAAGGGGGTTGTAATTGTATGGGGAATATAAAAATAAGGTTTAAATAAAAAAAGAAAAGGTGGAAGGAGTATGCAGTGGGAACTAGAGGCATGTGGGGAACTTTTAAAAGTCAGATTCAGATCATGCTCATGAAGTTGAAAGTAATTAAAATTTGATACACTGATAATTTACTTTTGTTTAAGAGAACTATTTCATATGCTCCATTTTATTTATTATAGTAGGTAAAAAGACAAAAAGGAGCCTTCCTGGTGGTTGCAAGGGGTTAAGTCTCAGCACTACAATACTACTGGTGGCCACTGAAGCACAAGTGATCCCTGACCAGGGAGCTAACTCACACAGTGCAGCAGACCTCTCCTGTCTCACCTGCTGTTCCCCTCAGCAGTGTATTTTAGTCAATCAGCCTGTTCTGCTCCCCACTGTCTCTGCTGAATCCTCTCCCTGCCCCCCACACCTCTGGATTCCACCCCAGTTCTTGTATGCATAAATAAATAAATCTTTAAAAAAAAAAGACATAAAGATTGCAAAATCAAATTCAGTAGATCAGAAGCAGGGCCCAGGTATTTACATTTGTATGGTACCCCAGGTGATTCTAAGGCTGGTGCAGAGGCGCAATCAGGTGCCTACAAACAGGTAACTAACTGCATTTGAACCTTGTTCCACCACTTCCCAGCTGTGGGATATTAGGCAAGTTTTTTAAACTCTCTCTGAGCTTGGTTCCTCCTCTTAAACATGATGGTTTTAAAAATTTAGAGAGATACCCCGGCGGAAGTAGGGCTACCGGGCATGCTTGACTTGGGGTCTCTACCCAGACCGGCTCCACCATGTCCAAGGTTTCCTTTAAGATCACGCTGACATCGGATCTGCGACTGCCCTACAAAGTGCTTAGTGTTCTTGAAAGCACACCTTTCACAGCAGTCTTAAAGTTTGCAGCAGAAGAATTTAAAGTTCCTGCAGCAACAAATGCAATTATTACTAATGATGGAATAGGAATAAATCCTGCACTGACTGCTGGAAATGTTTTTCTAAAGCATGGTTCAGAACTACGAATTATTCCTAGAGATCGTGTTGGAAGTTGTTAAAATCTGCTGCTTGGAAGGCTATGATGTGCCATACAGCTGCGATGTGCCATACAGCTGCTACATAGTGACGACAGAATGGAATGTCAACACAGGCCTCTTCAAGGAAATTGTTTTGGTCCTAACAACGAACACAGGACTTCATGGCCACTGAAATAAAGCAGCAAGCCAATGAAAGATACTAAGGTGTCACCACGCAACCTGGTGCTGTGATTGCCAACAGAAAGGTCCATGGGCAGATAATTCAGAGTAATCATACCTACTCGTGTTCAAGCAGCTCGTGCATCAGGTGCTTTGCTGGGGGTTTTCCAATCCTCGTATCATTTAATTCTTAAGACTCTGTACACAGGCATCGTTCTTATCCCCATTTAGGAAAATGAAACTTAGAAGTGAAGTAAACTAACCCATGAGAAGAGTGGGATTCAAACCAAGATTTCAGATCCAGAGTCTGGAACCTCTAAGCTACCTACCTTTGGCAACATTGGGGGGATTTTAGAATTGACTAAGCCTCCCACACATACTCTGTAAATCTCCCAACACATACAGACGGTTGGAGGATGAGAAAAGAAATGCAAGCCAGCATTAGACTCTTTGGCAGCTTTAGAAGTGTTTAAATGGAAACAATAAAAGTTTGCTACTTACAGTTCCAAAACAATATAATAATCTTTGGCATCGAAAACATCTTTAATCTTGATGATACAAGGCTAAAAGAAAAAAAAAGAAAAAGTAGTGAGAAGTTCCCAAGTAGAAAACCACAAGAGCAGGACTGAGAAACATGTGCCCAAAGGGTCAGGGAAGCCAAGACCAAGTACTTGGCCCCCTGCCTCAGGACACTTTGAAGTTTGAGCAGGGCGAAGGCAGAACAGAATGTCACTGGTGCCTCAGGGAGAATGTGCAAGAAAGACTCCCCCCAAGCACATCGTAGGTGAGGCATTGATCTGTGATCACACAGAAGACAGTAACAGAGAGAGTAAGGCCACGTCCCTTCCCAGTCTTCCTCCTCACTGACCTGAGCATGGGCACTCAAGGACCCCTGGGGGATCTTACAAGCAACAGGAATAAAGGAAGGGGGCCTGAACAGGAGCCCAATGATGCCACCAGATAGCAAGGCTATTCAGCTCCAGGAAACTGGAGACACAAGGAACTAGGGACCCCAGGTGACAAGATCCTCCTTTTTTTTCCCCAAGGGAAGAGGGAAATTAAAGTTTTATAAGAACTCTAAAGCACAGTTGTACATCAGAGAAAATTTTAAGTATTCATATATTAATCTTAGCAATATTATTAAAATACTCCCACCCCAGAAAATAAGGGTTCCTAACCCCAGATCTCTTGAATAAATGAGGCAAATCGAGGGAAGAAATGACAAGAGAACTGTTGCATTATTGTGTCTATGGCAGTGATTTTCTTCTTAGTTTCTACTTGTTTGGGGGAATTTGCAGAGTGGGGGTCAGGAGGGGTGATGTGAGAGAAAAGTTGTCTTTTTATTGTTTGAAAGCTAAGAACCAGAGCAAGATAATCCTTACTGGAAAGACTAAGTCTTATTTCAAGTTTAACTCCAGTGCTTACCTAGCTCATGATTTCATGGGGTCATAAAATAATGAACAGAAAGAACAAGAGGAAAAAGGGATTCAATCCCAGAATGAGCTGGGGACACTTTCCTTTGAGACAACTCATCCATGCCCCAAAAAGGTAAGAATATTTATAAACAATGAGATAACTGACACTATTTAATCAGATTTAAGAACACAATATTGTCATAGCCTTTAATTTATTTGACTTACTTCAAATGACGTAAACAGAAACCGGTACCATCTAAAGGTATTTAGAGTTGTTAAAACTTCAGCTATAATTAAACCAAATTTACCAAATTAGCAATGTTTTCCCAAACATAATCAGTTGATCAAGATTCTGTGAAATATAATATTTAGAAGACTTACCATGTATTTTGGCAAGAACTAATTCAATGGAAATACCACATAGTTATTTTACTGTAAATCTTGACATAGTGTTGTCTTCAAAATATCAGGGTAAAACTCTTCCCAGTTACATACATGCAGGTGTACACACATATACATATATAAACATATGTGCACACACTCACACACACACACAATTAAGGATCCCAGGTTTATACTAGCTTCATTATATTGAAATATTGTGGATTTAAATACGGGTCATATTTTACAGCAATACTTACATGATTTAGCTTTTTCAAAATTTCTATTTCTGTTTCAACATTGAGAGCTGGATCCTTTGACAAATAAAATAACATTAGAATTTAATAATAATAGCCAACTTTTGAAAATATTTATCATTAAACTTAATTGAGTGAAGGCTGCCATAACCAGCTCTACTCAGAGACATCAGTGTCTAAAAGTTGATGAATTAAGACGTTCACCTAAAATTAATCTGCAAAGTGTTTGGCAAACAGAAGATATTCAATAAATAAACAGGTCTGGTGTCAAGTTCTTTATTTAAAATAGTCACCTCACATAAACCTCATATTCCCATTTTACAGATGGGACAACTGAGGCTCAGAGAGAGGAAACCACTTGCCCCATTTCCCAGTCAGAAAATAATGTTTCCACTGATACCACTGATTACCTGGTAAGCTCTGCTTATCTCATTAGCTATGGAATTATTTACATTCATAAAAAATGATAAAACAAAAACCATAGACCAGCAGGCATTCAATTCACTGAATGAAGAAGATGTCAAGGCAAATTTCTAATAGAGCAAACATAGGTTCCATTTTCAACCACAGGCTGTCATGTTTACCAAGATTCTGACAAGCGGAAACTGCAGGGTACTGAAAACTGTTCTCTGTTACAATTCCAAAAGGATGAATCGAGTAACTCAACCTCACAGGCTACACCCTCCACAAGCAAAGAGGATATAGAATTACAGATTTATGTAAAATCGACTTAAGCTAAGCAGCCCATATGTTTAATTTAAAAGCCTTCTTCTTCCTGTAAGCCATTAAACTCATTACCGAGTCAGAGTGTACTCTGATGACAGGTCTAAAGAATCTAATATGATCTGAAAGATGAAATTAAGAAGTAAACTTTGCTCTAAGCTATTAAGAATCTGGTAGATATTTTCAACCCCCCAAAGGGAAACAAATTTATAGAGTCACAGGGGGAAAAATTTTATAACAAAGAGAACACAGAAAGGAAATTCCTCTTGCCATGTGAGAAAATGGCATTGTCTTGGGGGAAAAAAATTGATCTTTAAAAATGTTTAAGTATAATAGCCAGAAACAGCTGGCTGCAAAGAAAAATGTGATTAGGATCCATGATTTGCATTACTTTGTTGGATCATATGTAGAAAAACCAAAGCATCTGGACATGTTCCCTAAGCAGTAAAAGTATATTATGGAAAATGCAATAAAATGAATGGCTACTATATAAAAACTATTAAAATAATTTAATTAAGATTTTTTTTAAATCCAAAAACTTAAGCTATTCAAAGCCACATTACCAGGAAGAGCAAAAAATTAGAAATCATCTAAATGATCAACAGGAGAAATAGTTGAACTTATTATGATAAAGCTGATGAAACACTTATCATCAAAAAGGATGGACTGAGGGAAAGCTGATGCATTAATGCTGATGTGGAAAAAGAGAACACAAAATTGCATATACAATATGATTTCAACCATCTAAAAACATGAATTCATATGAACAAAGACTAAAACGGAGAAGAAAACTAAAAACAGCTGTGGGGTTACAGTGGCGGGATTATAGCTGAAATTTTTTTCCTGAGTTTCTTTCATTTATCGTAAAAACAATCTTGCAACAAGTAGGAAGGGAAGTGGGGAAGCTTCCCACTGTGTACACTATTAAGTACAAACAAATATTTTGCAACAAAATTATCTACAAGTAAGTTTCTAGATTAATTGAAGATGTTCAAATATTTTCAATGTTCTTCGATAACTCACAAATTCACATTATCTGAGAAAGAAATTTTTCCAAACGTTAATAATAGCAACTCTAAAATCATTTTGGGAAGTTAAGAAATGTGAAGAACAGCTGAGCAGCCACAGATACAGGTACTTACTGCCTCTTTCTCAGAGCCAACAAACTTCTTTTTGTTAATGATCTTTATGGCTACTTTTTTACATGTTTTCCTCTCAAAAGCTAGCTTCACCTCTCCACAGGCACCACTATGGGGAAAAACAGACAATAATTGGCAGGATGTTTTTAATCATGAGATCCACCACTCCTGAGTCTGCCCCAATTACAAGTTAAAGAGGATCCATGCACATCCCTTCCATTGTGCTTATTTTCCGAGTAAAACAGAGTGAAACCTCACCAATATCAAATGTCAAGGACACAAGCGGATGTGCATCATCCAACAATATTGAGTCAGCTATAAATTTCACTATTTGAGCTGAGCAATACAGACTTAAGACATTATCACCCTAGATTCTGCAATTCTCAGAAAGACAGAATAGGAGAACAAACATCAAACAGAATTAAGTTGCAGTCAAAAGGAGTGCCTGAAGCCAGTTACAGTAAACACAATCCGCAAATAAGTTGCTTTCCTTGATACATTTCTTGCCTTTCTTATTCTCTATCTTTAAGGAAGTATATACACAGTTGATGAAGCCTAAAAAAAATTGCAATACCTAAGAAACCAAAAGTATTACACAATTTAACCTACTGCAGCAAACTCTCAAAGATTTACAATTCACTGCAATACTATACTAAAAGGAGGAATGTTACCCAGGAAGCCACCCAGTGCATAGTTAACTGTACATGGGCTCTGTTCTCCAAAGTGTGGGTCAGCCGCAGGTAATAGCTACTGGTATATCATAACCTCGCTCATTAACTACCTGAAGTCTACTATTACGTGACTACTGTGGGCTTTGGAGGTAGGATGATGGGTTTGCCAAAACATCTTTGTTACTGTGTATTGTGTATATACATACATAAGATAAAATTTAGGGCCTCCCCTGGTGGTGCAGAGGTTGAGCGCTGGGCTGCGAAGCTGCCCGCAGCCTCTGCAGCACCGGTTCAATACCTGCCCACCAGTGAGGGTCCCACATGGCGCACAGACCTCTCCTGCAGCCCACTGCTCCCTTCAGCAGTGTATTTCGTCAGTCAGCCTGCTCTGCTCCCCACTCTGGCTCTGGTGAATTCTCTCTGGTGAATTCCCTCCCATGCTTCTGACTGTACCCAGTGCTTGTATAAATAAAATAAATAAAATCTTTTTTTAAAAAAAAGATAAAATTTACCATTTCATCATATTATTGTGTATAATTCAGCAGCATTAAGTATATCCACAATATTGTGCAACCACTAACTCAAATCTAGAACCTTTTCATCAGCCCAAATGGAAATCCCATACCCATTAAGCATCTACTTGCTACTCTACCCTCCTCCTAACACCTGGCAACCACTAATCTCCTTTCTTTCTCTATAGATTTGCCTATTTTGAATATTTTCTATCAGTGGAGTCATATATTAGGTGGCCACTTTGTGTTTGGCTTCTTTCACTTGGTAGGTTTTTCAAGCATGTATCTTACTTCCTTCTTGCGTATAGCTTAATAATATTTCATTGTACAGACATAGCTCATTTTGTTTACCAATCATGTGTTGATGGGACAATGCTGTTTCCATCTTTTTCCTACTGTGAATAGAAAGGCAATGAACATTCATGCATAAGTTTTTGTTTGAACATCTAATTTCAATTTTAGAGAGTAGGGGACCTGCAGGACCATGCGGTAATTCTGTTTACCTCTTATTTCTAGATCTTTGTTCCATTTTGAGTTGACTTTTTCATATGGTGTGAGATAATGGTTCATGTTAACTATTAGCTTTTAAATCTGCTCAAAATACTTTCCAATTCCCCATCTGCTAATAACATTTTCCCTGAGAAATCGTCACTGAGTCCACGTATGTCTATTTTAGTACAACACCCACTTCTAGCACCATGTGGTGAATACTGATACAAAATTTAGTCAATAAGGGTTTTCCCTGGAATAAAATGCTAATGTTCTCTTAGTTGTGGTTTGTTGGCAAAGGAATACAACTCTTTGGCTCAAGGTAGCCATTTTCTTGCTACAGAGAGAGTAATTTCTAGAGGAGGGCAACAAAGAATAGCTGAATCAAGAAATGAAGCCAGAGGGAGCTCTTAGGCCGAGTCACAAATAACAGAATTCAAAGAGTGAAATAAAGCCCTAAAGACCCTAGATTGAGTCATGCCTGAAGTTAGTTATACACCTGTATTTCCCAGTTATTTCCCTTATGAATTTGAGTTTAGTTTCTATCACCTGCTAATAGATTTGTGTTGAGCCCTCCTTTACAAAAAAAAAAAGTGGAGTACCATACATTTCTTAAGAAAGAGCACATTTTTGGCTGTGAGTTTCTAAGCAGTCAATGCAAATATGGAAACACAATAAGTTAATGAATTTAATATCCATAAATTAATCCCCATAGATGGTCATAAAGTACACTGTGCTTGATTTTATGAGCAAGAATAAGGCCAATTATTCCCTGCTACATACTTTCTACTTTCAAGTTTCCAAAAACACCAGTGAAAGTACAAAGGCCTTTGCGGGTGGAAGAGTTGGGTAGGGGGGAGGGTGGCGTAAAAGTGTGGTAAGACTGTTATGAACACTTTCCCTAAGGAAGTGGTTCTGTCAAGGTCTGATCAGGCAACCCCTAAAGGACTCCCAGATCCACAAAATCAAAACTATTTTCAGAATATCAGCAAGACATTGTTTGCTTTTTCCATTGTCATTCTCTCAGAAGAATGAGAAGAGTTTTCCAGAGGTACAAGGCATGTGATATTACAACAGACTAAACTAAACGAAAGGGCAAGTGTCAGGATACAGTCATCTTCTAGTAACCAGATATCTGAGACGTGCAAAAAATATAAAACAATACCTCGTCTTCTCACTATTCTTTGTAATTATTTTTCATTTAAAATATTACTTCACATGGGCCTCCCTGGTGGCGCAAGGGGGTAAGACGCAACCTATGAAACTGTCCGCAGCCACTGTAACAGGAGTTTGATCTCTCGCCAGGGAGCTACCCACATGGTGCAGACCTCTCCTCTCTTGCCCGCTGCTCCCCTCAGCAGTGTACTTCAGTCAGTCTGCCTGTTCTGTTCCCCACTCTGTCTCTAGTGAATCCTCTCATCCCCCATACCTCTGGACTGTACCACAGCACTTGTATGCATAAATAAATAAATCTTTAAAAAATATATTATTTAAGGGCCTCCCCAGTGGCGCAGCGGTTGAGCGCTGGGTTGCGAAGCTGCCCGCAGGCTCTGCGGCGCCGGTTCGATCCCTGGCTGCTCCCTGGCCACCGGAGGAGGGTCCCGCATGGCGCGCAGACCTCTCCTGCCGCCCGCTGCTCCCCTCAGCAGTGTACTTCGGACCTTCTGCCTGCTCTGCTCCCCACTCTGGCTCTGGTGAATTCTCTCACCCTCCCGCGCTTCTGACTGTACCCAATGCATGTATAAATAAACAAACAAACAAACAAATAAATAAATAAAACATGCCTCTATTAAAAAAATATATATATATATTATTTAAGGGGCCTCCCCAGTGGCGCAGCGGTTGAGCGCTGGGTTGTGAAGCTGCCCACAGCCTCTGTGACGCCGGTTCGATCCCCGGCTGCTCCCCGGCCCTGGAGGAGGGTCCCACATGGTGCGCACACCTCTTCTGCTGCCCGCTGCTCCCCTCAGCAGTGTACTTTGGTCCTTCTGTCTGCTCTGCTCCCCACTCTGGCTCTGGTGAATTCTCTCACCCTCCCGCACTTCTGACTGTACCCAGTGCTTGTATAAATAAACAAAAAAATAAAAAAATAAAAGAATAACATAACTGGCTAGGAACTTAAAACTTTAAAAAAAATATTATTTAACAAAGTGAATTTCTATTTTAATGAGTTAATTTATCTTCATTTTAATTTCTAAAACCATATACATTAACAATTTTAAACCACATGAAGAAAACCTCTATAGTGTCCTCAATAATTTTTAAGAATGTAAGGAATCATAAGATGAAAAATTTTGAGAATTTTGTGCCATTCAATTGTTAGTTTCATTTTACTTCCCAAAATATCCCAAATTTTGAAGAATACAAAAATGCAATAAATGTGGTTTTGGGGAAGATAATAGAAATGTTCTAAAACTGTGGTTTGTTACCAGAACCCAGCCACCTTAGCGGTGGGAGCCAACAGCAGCAGTGGTGTTTTCCCGCCCTGCTGCTCCTCCGCAAGTCAGTTGTGACAGCTGCTCCTCAGAGCCTAGACCACCCTTTTACTTCCTGGATCATGGAGTGAACCCAAGAGGTCCCAGCTACTAGCTCATTGGTGCTAAACAGTCCAATCAGCAGCAACAGGATTGAAAAGTGGTCAACTTGGATTGTGAGTGTGATACCCTGAAAGAGGATATAAGGCAGGATTGGAGAGAGCTAAAAAAAGAGACTATTCCATCTTCCAAAGGAAAAAATGGCAAGGCTCTGTTCCTGGCCTCCAAAGAAAGAAGGAAAAAAGCATCCAGCAGCCAATCTCCGAGGAAGGAAAAGAAGCCGAAGTCCTCTGTCTCTGACATCACCTAAAAGGAGCATGAAAGGCTCCAAGCCTGGTGTTTCAAACAGCTATTTGTTGTTGGCATAGTCCAACAACTCACAAAGAGCTGTTAACACTTGGTGTCGCTGACACCACCTCTGGGGGACCAGTGGTGACCATCACTACTGGCCAGTGTGCTCTAGCTCTGGTGACAGGTATCTGGCATTCTGCTTGTACTTCTGGTGGACACTATTTGGGTGAGATAGCCAGCCACTTATGGCTACAATAAGTTCTCTGTTTCCCCTGTTTGCAAAATAAATCCCATGGTTGTTATTCCTGGAGCCTGAGGTCTCTTGCAATTGTGCACGTGGGTGAGAACCCACAGACAGTGACCAGTCTGTCTTATCAGGCACTGTACTTCACAGGCTATAGCTCACAGGCCTTTATTATATGGGTGTTGTATTGCTATAGCCCTTGGTTTCCGTTTTCGGTCTTTTTGGGGGGCTTTTGATGGCTCTCTTGTCTTACAGCCTAGGCAGGTAGGTAGCCATTCGGCCTATCCTGGTATTCCATCCTCCCGTTGCCCCACCTGCCCCTGTTTCAGTTTCACAACACTGAATTTACTAAAAACCACTGAATTGTACTTTAAGGGGGTGAATTGTATATTATGTGAATTATATCTTAGTAAAACCTCTTTTAAAAAGTTACCACAGATAAAATTTATAAGGATAAATTGTTCATGTCAATTGATTATTACCAAATAAATAATGGAACTATCAGGGCCTCCCTGGTGGCACAGGGGTTAAAAACAGCATTATCAAGCTATTGGCAGCCACTGCAGCACGAGTTCGATCCCTGGCCGGCCAGGGAACAATCCACATGGCACAGCAGACCTCTCCTGTCTCTCCCGCTGCTCCCTTTAGCAGTGTATTTCAGTAGAACTGCATGTTTCTGCTCCCCACTCTCCCTGGAGAATCCTCTCACCCGCACCCCACACCTCTGCTTATACCCCAGTTCTTTTATGCATAAATAAATAAATAAATAATGTAACTATCATGAATACATACCCTACCAATAATTATGAATAGTTAAGTTATAAAAGCATGAACAAAAATTAACCAATGACAAATGTTTAGGAAAAAATTAAATGTAATTTAATTTACCTTCCAAGAGTTTTTGATATGATGTATTCATCTCTTAATTCCTTAGGGTAAACTGACTGATCATCTACAGTCAGATCAAAAAATACAAAAACTAAGAGAAAAAGGGAAGAAATAGTTCTCATTAATTCATTTGAAGAAGACCTAAAGTTTAGCAAATATATGGAACACAAGACAACTGCTTTTAATTACATTTAACTTCTAACCTTAAATGAATTTTTTAGCTAAACGAACATATCACGAAACCCTTGGAAAATGATGATAATCAAATTTCATTCTTCAATATAAATACACTGCATCATTCTCATCTGTATGGAAAACCATACATAAATGCTAAATTTAATTCCTTGACCTCAGAATATTCAGTTGCACTAGTATAAAACACCTGAGCAAATTAACACATAGCTAGAATCAAAAAGCAATTCATTGGAACCTAGAAAAAAATGTTATAGACAAGTAAATAAACATCCCAATAAAAATTAGATCATAGGAGGGCCTCCCCGGTGGCGCAGCGGTTGAGCGCTGGGTTGCGAAGCTGCCTGCAGCCTCTGCAGCGCCGGTTCGATCCCTGGCTGCTCCCCGGCCACCGGAGGCGGGTCCCGCATGGCGCGCAGACCTCTCCTGCCGCCCGCTGCTCCCCTCAGCAGTGTACTTCGGTCCTTCTGCCTGCTCTGCTCCCCGCTCTGGCTCTGGTGAATTCTTTCACCCTCCCACACGTCTGACTGTACCCAGTGCATGTATAAACAAAAAACAAAACAAACGAACAAATAAATAAATAAATAAATAAAACATGCCTCTATAAAAAAAAAATAAATAAAAATCAAAAAAAAAAAAAAAAAATTAGATCATAGGGCCTCCCCTGGTGGCGCAGCAGTTGAGTGCTGGGCTGCAAAGCTGCCCACAGCCTCTGCAGCGCCAGTTCGATCCCCGGCTGCCGGGCGAGGGTCCCACATGGCGTGCAGATCTCTCCTGCCACCCGCTGCTCCCCTCAGCAGTGTACTTCTTTGTCAGTCTGCCTGTTCTGCTCCCTGTTCTGGCTCTGGTGAATTCTCTCACCCTCCCGCGCTTCTGACTGTACCCAGTACTTGTATAAATAAATAAATAAATCTTTAAAAAAAATTAGATCATAGGTCATCAATAGTATCTTCCCTACCATTTATACCTTTGCATATTTGGTACTTTAAAATATACACCATCTTGAACTAGCCAAACTCAATTAAACCTTAGAAAATCTCTTGTGCTAGAACTTTTTCGTAACTTAAAAATGCAACTAGAACTGAGTTGAATTTTAAATGCTAACCTACTTACTTCACTTAAACCATATTCTGCAAGGACACAAGGTCAATTATCATTTTATATGGAAGGGGGGGAAATCCAGCAACCATAAGATAATGATACTACCTTTATTACTCCATATTGAAAGTGCAATTTCAGAATTGTTACTCAAAGGAAGGCGTTTTCCTTTCCCAACAAGGACTCTATTTACAAAGGTTCCATTCCCACTGTGATCCTCTATGTATGCGATGTGAGAGTTTTTAGGACCCATTTCCTAAAATAGAGATATAGAGAATGTTTTATTTAAAAAGTTCATGCATACTCTGGGTACTCTTCAAATAATAAATCTTTTGCCTTTTAAAATGTTCATGCAGGGGGCCTCCTTGGTGGCGCAGGGGTTAAAGACACAGCGCTGTTAAAATCAATAGCCAGTGCAGCACGAATTCAATCCCTGGCCGGCCAGGGAGATAACCCACATGGCACAGCAGACCTCTCCTGTCTCGCCTGCTGCTCCCTTCAGCAGTGTATTTCAGTAGATCCACCTGTTCTGTTCCCATTCTGTCTCTGTTGAATCCTCTCATTCTCTACACCTCTGGCCTACACCTCAGTTCCTGTATGCATAAATAAATCAATCTATAAAATAAAAAAAAATGTTCATGCAAAGTAATAGTGGGAAGATGTCCAAGATGTCCAAGTCATCTATGATGACTAGATGACCGGCTCTCTGAGATATAGGGATATTGGTGACCTACCCTGAAAATCCGAAAGTGCCTCTTGCTATAAGTTCGGTATTTATCTGTTCTTTTCAGCATTGGTTCATCAAAGCAATATTCACAGCTTCTGTCCCTCCCAAACCAGTAGTTGTCATTAAAACACTCTGTAACACAAAAGTACACACTCAGAGGGCTGTTGAATCTCAAGCATTTGGACACCTTTTTAAATTACCCATAAAATCAATGTGTAGGAGGAAAGTATAAGAAGGCAATCAAAATTACAGAATTGTTGATCAAGATTTTATAAGACTAAAAAAGAAGGGGTTAGAACCATAAAATTCTTCCAACAATGAGTTTAATAAATTATGATTTATACATAACCACAAAATAACAAGTAGTCATTAAAAACCCTCCCTGGTGGTGCAAGGGGTTAAGTTGCAGCACTATGAATCTATCTGCAGCCACTGCAGCACACAGTTCAATTTCCGGCCAGGGAATTAGTCCACATGGCACAGAGACCTCCCTGGCACCCCCGCTGCTCCCCTCAGCAGTGTATTTCAGTCAATCCAACTGCTCCCTACTCTGTCTCTGGTGAATCCTCTCAACACTCCCCGCCCCACCGCACCTCTGAACTACACCTCAGTTCTTGTAATCATAAATAAATACACATATAATATTCCATTATGTATATATACAGAATGAAATAGTATTGACATACAGTGGAATATTACACAGTCAAGAGAAGGAAATCCTGCCACTTGTACATGGATGAAGCCTGAGGGCATCACGCTAAATGAAATAAGCCAGACAGAAAGGCAAATGCTATATGTTCTCATAAGAGGAATCTAAAAAAGCTGAATATAAACAAACAGGATGTTTGTTACCAGGGCTGAAGGAAAGGGGACATTGTGAAATGTTGGTAAAAGGGTACACGTTTCTGGCTAAAAGATGAGTAAATTTAGGGATGTGATGTACAGTATGGTGATTATAGTTAACAATGCAATATTATATACTTGAAAGTTGCTAAAAGATCTTCAATGTTCTCATCACATAGTTAATGCTATAGTAATAATCATCTTGCAATATGTAAGTATCAAATCAACATGTTGCACACCTTAAAGGGATATAATGTTACATATCAACTTTAGCTCAAAAAAAGCTGGGGGGGGGGGAGCCTCCCTCGTGGCGCAGCGGGTTGAGCACAGCACTGTGAAGCCTAGGCAGCGCAGGTTCAATTCCCGGCCAGCCAGGAAGATTCCCACATGGTGCGGCAGACCTCTCCTGCCTTGCCCACTGCTCCCCTCAGCATTGTCTTCGGTCTGTCTGCCTGTTCTGCTCCCAGCTCTGTCTCTGGTGAATTCTCTCACCCTCCCACACCTCTGGCCTGTACCCCCCTGCTTGTATAAAAAAATAAATCTTTAAAAGACAAAAAAAAGCTGGGGGGAGGTAATTAAAAATTAGCAGAGGAAAACATTTTATGGATTAATTGCCATGGTAGTACAACATTGTGAATGTACTGAATACCAATGAATTGTTTACTGAATGGTAAAATGGCAAAATTTTTATTAGACCTATTTTAACATTAAAAAATACTTAGAAATAAATTTTTTTAAGGTAGAAGACATACACTGAAAACTATAAAACACTGGGGCCTCCCTTGTGGCACAGGGGTTAAAGTCCCAGCACAATCAAGCTATCACCAGCCACTGTGGCAAAAGTTTCATCCACAGTCAGGGAGCTAACCCACATGGCTCAGTAGACCTCTCCTGTTTCATCCGCTGTTCCCCTCAGCAGTGTATTTCAGTAGGTCTGCCTGTTCTGCCCCCCACTCTGTCTCTGGTGAATCCTCTCACCACTACTCCCTGCATATCATTAAAGTTTTTGTAGTACTGCCATAAAGATAGACACATAGATCAAAGGAACAGAACAAAAAGTACAGAAATAAATCCTCACATTCGTGGTCAAATGATTTTTGACAAAAGTGGCAAAATCACTCAATGGTGAAACAATAGTTTCTTCAAGAAAGAGTGCTTGAAATAAAACAAAAATGAAATTTTTTTAAATAAGTGAAGTAAATTTTAAGAGTAAAAATAAAAAATCAACAATTTGTAACAATTTAAAAAATAAAGAAAATAACAGAAAAAATTAGTGCTGGATTTGTACATGCAAGAGGATGAATTTGAATCCCTACTTCATATCATATATAAAAATCAACTCAAAAATACGTAAATGTAATAGCTAAAACTACAATATATTTAAAAGAAAACAGGCATAAATCAATAACCAACAATAACAAAAATGTTTTATTTATTGAGCATCTATGATGGTCATCCTATTGTTATAGGGCAGCCCCAATATCCTTTTCCCCCTAACACTATCAGGCTCTTAGTATATGTAACCTTATTCTTATAAGGTGATAAATCCTACTTTACTCTTTCTCACCATCTGTTTCTCATTCAAAATACGTAAGACCTAAATCCATCTTAAAAATATAGCTGACATGAGTAAAAAATAGCTTCAAGGGGCCTCCCTGGTGGCGCAAGGGGTTAAGCACCACACTAGGAAGCAATCCGCAGCCTCTGCAGCACGAGTTCGATCCCCAGACGGCCAGGGAGCTACTCACATGGCGAACAGACCTCTCCTGTCTCGCCCACTGCTCCCCTCAGCAGTGTACTCAGTCTGCCGATTCTGTTCCCCACTCTGTCTCTGGTGAATCCTCTCACCCCCTGCGTCTCTGGCCTGTACCCCAGTTCTTGTATGCATTAATAATCTTTAAAAAAATAGCTTCAAATATTTACTTCTAAATTTAAAGTTGCACATATGAATGTTGGTATTTTATTTCTCCATTTTTTTACTGTTTTTTCCCCGAGTCATCAAAGTTGGACATGAAAGCAGGAAGAGCAAAGTATAAATGGTAAATTAACTGTTGGTTTCTTTATGTTATTATTTCCTATCCCGTTAATTTCAAGTCCAAATTTTTTAAAATGAAGATCATTTTAAACTGAGAGGGAGGAAAAATGCTATTTCAAGCATACCCACACCAAAGCCTAACTATTGAAACCAGGAAGTGTCAGAGGATGATTGTATTCAAATTGCAAGGTTGGCTGTTTTGAGATAAAAACAAATAAAGGCTGTCAACAGTCATCCTTATTCAGAAATCTAAAGTTGCAGACCACAGCAGGACAGGAATGGGGGATGGTAAGTGGTGATTTTTCTGATTACCTGACAAATGTCTGCAAGTTTGCATGAATTTTCATTTTTCAAAGAGAAGGGGCCACTACTTTCTTCGGGTGCTCAGATGGAAAACACTGCAGAAGAGCAGTGAGTATCCGTTGAAAGAATAAATGGGACTTGATAGCAGGGAAGAGTCAGTGTATGACCAAAAACTGCTTCCTTAGTTTTATCTTTCATTGCCTTCAAACTCCACAAATCATTCCAGGAGTGTCTTGAGATTTCTGCTGTAACTGTTTTTCTGAACAAAATTATACTACATAGCAAAGGGTCTTACCAAGATTAGTGAATCCATCCTGTAGGGCCCATAATCGAGCCCAAGGGGCAGGGACGGGCTCCTCTGGTTCTTGGTCCTCGGGAATAGAGGCAAGTTCTTGAGTGGACACTGTGTCTAAGGAGCTCAGTGTCCCTGAGCTGGAGTGAGAGGACTGACTAGAGGTGGGCACTGTGCTGGTGGAGGAACTGGATGTGCCCTGCGGCTGTGAGGAGGAGCCAGGTATCTGCGAGGAGAGGCCATGGGACTGGGAGCAGGCACTGCTGCTGTGGGACTGCTGACACTCCGCTTCTGTCTCCCGAGACATCACCACCTCAAAAAGAAGTGTCCAATAATAAAGTGAGCTTTCAGGACAAGATAAGAGTGAAGACTGTGCATTTGTGATGGGGGGGAAAAAATCCATGGTAAGCATGTTATGCAAAAATTTATACCCTAAGGCCTCCCTGGTGGCACAGGCGGTTGAGCCCAGCCCTATGAAACTGTCCACAGGCTCCGCAGTGCTGGTTTGATCCCTGCCGGCAGTGGAGATACCCACAAGGCGTGACAGACCTCTCCTGTCTCCCCCACTGCTCCCCTCAGCAGTGTATTTCGGTCGTCTGCCTGTTCTGTTCCCCGCTCTCTCTCTGGTGAATCCTCTCACCCTTCTGCACATCTGGCCTGTACCCCTGGTGGTGCAAGGGGTTAAGTCTCAGCACTATCAAGCTATTGTCAGACACTGAAGCCACTGTAGCACCGAGTTTGAACCCCAGCCAGAGAGCTGACCCACATGGCATAGCAGACCTCTCCTGTCTTGCCCGCTGCTCCCCTCAGCAATGTATTTCAGTCAATCTGCCTGTTCAGCTTCCTACTCTGTCTCTAGTGAATCCTCTCACCCCCACACTTCCGGCCTACACCCCAGTTCTTTTATGCGGAAATAAATATTTAAAAAAATTAACACCCTAACATTCTAAAATTCTAGACCTTACATCTTCTAGACAGAATTTTTCACAAATCATTTTCAACAGATCTGTTGTTTTGTGTCACTGCCATAAGCCACAGGGAAAAGAACCAAAAATAATTTGATGGCTATAATTTAGTAAAACAGCAAAAAAAAAAAAAAAAAAAATGGAGTTGGGGGGGCAGACTATTAAGTGCTTATATTCACCTAATCTTTAAAACTTAGAATGAAAAGTAAAATGTATTCATTAATACAACTCACACTATACTTAAATCTCATATAAGGTTTGGATAGGAGGGGTAGGTGGCTTGGGGTAGAAGATAGGCAAAGAGAAATTGTATAGTGACTCCAAGCACCATACCAGGGGTGGCCACTTACATAAAATGTCTCTGAAGTCCCTCCTCCTACAGCTAGCTACTGGAGGGTAAAGACCAAGTAGTTCTTTCTATTCCTTGACTTTAAGGACCAGGCCATTTAAGGAGGCAGAACACAAAGAAGATTGCTCTAAACAACTCTGCCTCACCCTTTGTGATGCTAATTAACTGTGGGGCTCATCTTTTCAGGATCTTCCATGGCCTTCAACCAGAAGAATCCCGCAGAAACTGTTTGAGTTACACAAGACCAGAAGAGAGGTTGCAATCCTCACTTTAGCATTAACATGATGGACAGCTAAATTCTAATAACTGAACCAACAACAAAATAACTGAATCCCTAATCTGATTTTTTTCTGAAGTGCATTATCTCCTGATCCACATACTCAGGCTACTTCTCCAGGAGAACACAATAAAACACAACTCACACTGGCTGCATTTACAGTTTTCCACATACAAAGGTCCTGTGGAGTTTTCCTTAGTGCACACGGTGATGCTAAAGTTGAGTCTGCCACTCTGGGATCTGCAACTATCATACTACCTCAGCCAGGTTGTGTCCTTCTGCAGATTTTTAAGCAAGACTTTTTCACACCAAAAACTGGCAAAAGACACAGTGTCAAAAGTTAGTTGCTATCAACATTACCATAAATGAATCCCTTGCCTCAGACACCAGGATTGGAGTAGTTAGAGGCAAACAGGCCTAGAGTCAAACGCCCGAATCAAATATTTGCATGACTTTTAGGCAGATCACGACCTCTCTGAGTCCATTTCCTTATCTGAAAAAAGATTTTGAGAATTAAATGAGATGATGCAAGAATGTTCCCCCAATAGTGCTTAATAGTTCAAGAACAAAAAAAAAAAAAAAAAATAGTTCAAGAACAGAATTGCAGTCCCATAGAATCGACACCCAGAAAAATCCTTACAAGTGCAACACAGAATTTTTTTTTCCTCAAATAGAGATAGCGCCTCCCCCCCACCCACCCCCAACCCCACACACTTACTTAGGGACACTCACTGCGCATCCTACGAGGGTCAGTGTTTTCAATTCCTGCAGCACCTACCAACTAAGAGTGGAGTTCTCAATAGATGTTTCAGAGATTGAACTTTAAGTATGATATTAATTACTAATATTTATGAAATTCTCTATAAAACAACTTTGCTCTGATTTTGAAGGGCACAACGTGGTTCCTTCCTATCCTGTAGGTCTGGGCCAGTTTCAGCTTGTAAGTAGCAGGGAAGTGAACTTGGCGTCAAAGTTGATCTACAAAGACGGAAGAGAATCACCCACGCAGTCTTCTACCCCACCCCCCACCACCCAGACACACACCAGGTCAAAAACTGGGCAAGGCGGGAGCTCAGGAGATTCAGCTTGCATTAAACGCCTGAGCGTGGGATTCGAACCCCCAAACACCGAAGAGGCGCTCCCCACCGTGACTCACCGCGTGAGCCCACCTGAAGTCGCACACTCTCCCCGGCCACAGCGAGCCGAGTGGCGCTAAACCTGCTGATACAAACTCCACCCTCAACCAATCAAAACACGTCTGCGCTGACGCCGGACCAATGAAGAGAAACGGATGTGACCGCTTTCGTACGCTCAATGCTTGCTGGGAGTTGTAGTTCAAAACCCTGAGCCGAACTCAGAATCCCAGTTTTCCCCTGAGTGACCCCGCCCCCTCGGCGCCCCAGCCAATCACCAGCTCTGGTCGGGCCGACCGCTTGCTCCCCTTTGCCCCCTCGGGCGACCTCAACCAGAATAGGCCGAGCGCCAGATGTGGGGCGGGAGGGCCGGGGCCCTGCTCCGTGCGTGGGGGTTCTGGCCAGCGGGAGCCCCTGGAAGGAGACCGCTAAGCTGCCATGCGGCGTCGCCGGCGGGAAGCAGCTCAGCCCGGTGCTGGAACTGCGGCAGCCCAGCGGGCCCCGTGAGGAAAGACGGGCCCTTCTGCCCGCAGTGCCGGGCACTGCAGCCCCCTGACCCGACTCAGGACTACTTCAGCCTCTTGGACTGGTACGGGGGGGGGCGGGTTCCGTGATGGGGGGGTCGGGGGCCGAGAGAGAGGGGAGGGCCGCTCCGGCTCAGGAAGAAGGCGGGACCGGTGCGATCGGTGGGCGGGGCCCTAGAAAACAGAGTCTCCCGGAGGGTGGAGGGTGGGGTGTATCCAGAGATGGGGGGGGGGGGGGTGTCCCACATCCCAGCGCTAGGAAAAGGGAGCTGGGGAAGAGAACTTTGAGAGATGCAGACGAGAGTGCAGGGAGAACTAGAGCGGGGAAAGAAATTAAATTGGGGGATGGAGGTTTTAATGGAGAAGACTTGAGAGGCAGGCCCTGAGAGGCGGAGCCTGAGGGAGGGCCCCAGGAGGCATAGCGTCCGAGAAACTTGGGGTGAGATTTTTAAGAATAAGAGTATGGAGGTGTGATCCCACATAAGGGAGTAAATGTTCGGGGAAAACGCGATATTGTGGACGGAATCTAAAGTGAAAATGGAGAAAGGATGTCTGAGAAATGTTTTTTCAAAAGGTTGAGGGACTTGGAGAGGTGAAGTTAGATGAAGATAAACTGTTCGGATAGGGCAGCCTCCGGGAATAGAAAGTGAAAGGAATTGAATTAAAATAAAGTGGAAAACAATTATGAAAAGACCTGGTCCTTGGAAATATGGGATGTAATTTGGGGATGCCATTGCTCCATAATCCTGGAATCTGCCAGTCACTGAACACTTATGACAGGCTACAATAACTGACCCCTGAAGTTCTTCAAGAAGCCAGTCTTGTTCCCACCTCAGGGCCTCTGCATGTTTTCTCTGCCTGGATGTTTCCTCCATCTTTGATTACTCATCATCACTCACATCAGCTCAATACAGCTTTTTGACTGTATTCAGTTTTCTGTCACAGCACTTACCAATCTTGGACATTATCTGTCTACAAGTTTACTAATTCTTGTTTATTGTGTCTGTTGAGAACAGGAACCAAGCCTATAGTATACAAAAATATAAATATTTTGATGCTTGAATTTCTTCTCCCAATTTCCTCCCAGCAACCGTTCCTTCAGAGTTGACACTGCAAAGCTCCAGCACAGGTACCAGCAACTACAGCGTCTTGTCCACCCAGATTTCTTCAGCCAGAGGTCTCAGGTAGTCTGTTGGCCACCCTAATTGGGGTAAAACATATCTGCATACTGGGTGGGTGGCTGTGGCCTTGTGGTTATTAGGGACAGATCTGGACAACTGGCTCTACCCTGTCACCAGGGTGGTCTGACCCTTATCAGCCAAGCACTGTATGTGTCCTGCACTTACAGCTTTTATCTGACTTACCAGCAGAATTAGAACCCATTTGTTAAAAATAAAGATAGCTCACCCGATACCAGCACTGTTCTGTCCATGTCCTTAGGTAGCTTGTCCATAAGTAATTTATAAAATACTTTATGAATATAAAATAGTTGATTTGAATAGTAATAAGAAAATCTTCATCTCCACAAACAGACTGAAAAGGAGTTCTCAAAGAAGCATTCGACCCTGGTGAATGATGCCTATAAGACTCTTCTGGCGCCCCTGAGCAGGGGACTATATCTTGTAAGGTGATTTCCCAACCGTTCTATGTGTTACTGCCTGATGTCCAGTGTGCTATAGATTAGCTGCTCCCCTATGTTCAGCAGAAGAGTGCTTAAGATCTGAGCAAGCCCAGGGACCCAACCATATTAACCTCAAAGACATTACACATGTATAGTTTCCTCTGAGTATTCTCTTACAAATCTTACTTGTCTGATTGCATTTTTTTAACCATCTATAAATTTCAAAGATTGGATGGTGATGAATAGTTTTTGTGGGTTGTTTTTTTTTTTTTTTTTTTCCAGAGAGGAAGGGAGGTAAGCATCTCAGTTTTAGGATTGAATAATAATCTTTACATGCATTTACTTGAACCTCCCAATTAAAGGAATGACTCCCCAGGATCTCGTAGTTCCTAGTAGCAGAAATTCCTCCCCAACACTCCACAGTTCAAATTTCCAGCTCTCTAAATTTCACACCATCATTATTAGGACAGGTCAGGTTTTCTTTATGAGTGGTATTCTGTTCTAAAGGGTGAATAGGATTTACAAGACTCTGGACATAGTTTCTTGAAACAAACTTATTTTCTCTGCTTTATGCCCCAATAGCTAAAGCTCTGTGGAGTAGAGATTACTGAAGGGACAGATTATGAAATGGACAGGCAATTCCTCATGGAAATAATGGAAATCAATGAAAAACTTGCAGAAATTCAAAGCGAAGCTGCTGTGAAAGAGATTGAATCTATTGTCAGAGGTAAGATAAAACACCACCAAATGTATTTTTTTGCTATAATGACTATGTTTGGGGTTAAGTAAACAATGAATATAAGGAGTACATACTTGTCATCATAATGAGTCAGGGAAGTTTTGCTTCTTTTTAATAATGAAATCAATTTTGTCTGGAGTTAGACTTTCAGCATTCTTAAGAGTGTCATCATACTTTGCAGATTGCAATGCTCCTTCACACACATAACATCATTTAGATAATATTATTGAGTCTAGCAAGAAAATAGGCCTCAGAAATTCATGGTAATGCCCACTGTCACACAGCAGATACATAATAGCAAAGACTAAAACCTTAATCTTTGGATCCCATATTGCTTTGCTTTCCATTTTATTCCATATTATTCTGTTATTTAGAGAAAAAGAATCATTAATGTGTGTGTGTACAAGTAAAAAGAGAGAAAAATTTACTTAAGGAATTGGATTACATAATTGTGGGGGCTAGCAAATTTGCAACATGTAGGGCAGACCAACAGGCTGGAAACATAAGCAGAATTTCTGTGTTGGTTTTGAGTCAGAATTCCTTCTTTTCCAGAAAACTTCAGGCTTTGTCCTTAAGGCCTTCAACTGAATGAACAAGTCCCACTCATGTGTTCAGAGATAATCTTCTTAAAGTAAACTGATTTAAATGTTAATCCCATCTGCAAATTACCTTACAACAGCTAGGTTTGGTTAAACAACCAAGCACCATAGCCTAACCAGGTTGACAAGTACAATTAGCCATGTTATGCAAAAAAAAGGCTCCAAGGCTCTTACTCCAAAGGTATATAAACCTGTACTATCACAAATTCACAAATAGTGCACCTACTATGTATCATGCACTGCATGACACTGAGTATATGACAGTGAACAGATGTCTTCATGGATTTTATATATTCCAAATCAATGTGTCTAAAAGGGAATTCACAAGCATTGAACTCCCTCCCGAAGGAACTTGTTCCTCTGCCAATTCCCCTTCTAAATGAAGGACATCATCCAGTTGCACAAGTCTAAAACACTGAGAAACCATCCTTATAACCTTTCCTCCTTTATAGATAATCTATAATTCCTCCCATATAATCTATCATCAACTCTTGAAAAGGTAACCTTAAATGTGTTTCAAATCCCTCCATTCATCTTGCTTGCTACCACCCCATTCCAAGCTACCACTCTTATCTGGACAGCTGCAGTAGATCTAGACTTATCTATCCTTATCTTTACACTCTTAAGACATACCTAATATATTCCTACACTGTCATTGTGTGATCTTTTTGAAACCCAGATATAATCATTCACCCTTGACCTTGCTTAAAACTTTAAATGCTTCCACTGCTCTCAAATTAAAGCCCAAACTGTTTAGCATAGCTTACAGGGTCTTGTATGATCCAGCCTCTGCTTCCTCCCATTTGCTGCATCCACTCCAGCTACATAGGTCACTTCCATTTCTTTATCTGAAGTAGACACCTTCCTACCCTAGGGTCTTTGTGCATGTGGTTACTTCTGCCTAAAATCCCCTTCTCTACCCTTCTAACTATCCTTTAGATGTGAGGGCAATCATTACTATCTCAGAGAACTTCTCTTTCTATACATTTGGCAGTGGGTACCCTTCCTTTATAGTATCAATCAAAGTTACAGTTTTACTCTTGTGTGGGACTATCCAACCAATATCTGCCTCCCCCATTAGGCTGAGACTTGCAGAGACAGAAATTATGTCTCTTTTTTCTTCTCTCCCATCTAGGGCAAACAGAATAGTATTTGGTGTATAACAGAAATCCAGTAAATATTTTCTGAGTAAAGAATAATAAAGAAATTGAAGGCATTAAAATGGGATTTGTGGTAGGGGATCATCAACTGAAGATGTGTCAGAAGCATTAGGGCTGGGTAGTATTGAGATAAGAGAAATTCAAGACATGCAGTCAGAAGCCCTGGCTATATGACTTTGGGAGGCAGAGCATCATAAAACTGTGAGATTAGGTGGACTGGGGTTTAGGCCCAACATTGCCGCTGACTTTTTGTGTGACCTTGAGCAAGTGACTTCTTCCCTCTGAGACTTTGTTTCCTCATTTGTAAAACAGATAATATTAGTCCTGGTTGATATAAGGATTAAGTTAAATGAGATAGAAAGCTTATAAAACACTTAACACAGTGCCTAGCCCATAGTAAGTACTCAGTGGTGAGGGGTTTTCTAGCTATATCGTAAACATATAACACTGAGCAGACTGATCACCATCATTTAGATTAATTCCTAAATTGTTCCCCTATAGGAATCTGCTAAGGCCTAAGATAAAAAATGAATGTTTCAAGGTCATAGAGCTAGTTGTAGAGGTCAGGACTTCAGAGCTCCAGACTTCTAATCCAGTGTTCTGTTATTTATACCACATTGCCCCCTGAGAAGCAAATTTCCAGCTATTTTCTAGGAGTCTGAAAACAGGGTCCGTTCTCAGCGTCTCCACATAAGACAATTCCCCAATAGCTGTCAGGCCTAGAATGGTGATAGAATGTACTTGAAAGCAGGTACCATATAAATGATTTATTCTGTTACAGGAGTTTGGGAACTGGCTACTTGATAATCATAAGCCAAAACTTATGGCAAGAGTTGGTGGCAGCTTCCCTGGTGTCCTAGTCAGTGCTATCACCTCTACAGCCTGAATTCAACCACCAGCCAGGGACCTAACTCCATATATGGTGCAGCAAACCTCTCCTGTCTTGCCCGCTGCTCCCTTTAGCAGTGTATTTCAGTAAATATGCCAATTCTGCTCCCCACGCAATCTTTGGTGAATCCTCTCACCCTCCCGCAGCACAAGGGACCAAGGTGATAGTTAACGGGTGAATGGGTGGTGGGAATTTTATGGGAACTATAATCAAGATGAAAATGCATACATTGGGGGCCTCCCTTGTGGCACAAGGGGTTAAGACACAGCACTGTGAAGCAATCTGCAACACAAGTTCGATCCCTGGTCAGGGAGGTGACCCACATGGCACAGCGAACCTCCTCTGTCTCGCCTGCTGCTCCTCTTAGGAATGTATTTCAGTCGGTCTGCCTGTTCTGCTCCCCACTCTCTCTGGTGAATCCTCTCACCCCCCACACCTCTAGCCTGTACCCCACTTCTTGTATGCATAAATAGATAAATCTTTTTTAAAAAAAGGAAATGCATATATTGTACAAAAATGAAAAATGATATAAAAAATATATAAAATAATTAAAAATAAATAATTTTTTGAAAAAATTTTAAAAACGGTCGTACGTGGAAGGAAATCAAGTTTAATCAGGAGCCACCAAACCTTAGAAGATGGCATATTACTGGGGCCTCCCCTGGTGGCAGAGGCGGTTGAGTGCTGCACTGTGAAGCTGTCTGCAGCCTCTGCAGCGCCGGTTCGATCCCAGACGGCTGATGAGGGTCCCACATGGCGCGGCAGACCTCTCCTGTCGCGCCCGCTGCTCCCCTCAGCAGTGTATTTCGTTAGTCTGCCTGTTCTGTTCCCTGCTCTGTCTCTGGTGAATCCTCTCACCCTCCCGCGAATCTGGCCTGTACCCCGGTTCTGGTATAAATAAATAAATAAATCTTTAAAAAAAAAAAGAAGAAGAAGATGGCAGATTACTGTCTCAAAGGATATCTTTCTGAATTAGGGAGAAGCAGGACTTGTATGGGGAAGTACTAAAGAAGAGGAAAGGTTAAAATGTGTCAGCAGGATTTCAGAGAATTAGACAGGTTTTTCTAGGAACTGCATTCATGCCCCTTTTTCTTTCAAGTTTGATCTTGACTGGATCTAGCATGGTGCTGGTACTAAGGCGGTGGCTTAACCCTTGTTTTCTACCTCCTCCACCTTGGTTTCAGCCAGCATTGCCAGGTTTTCTGGTTTTGTCTGCAAGAAAAGACAAAGTGGAGCAAAACAGGGATGAACAGAGCAAAGGCAAGGAACTATGGCTCCCAGGCTTGTGACAATTCCCTGTTGGTTTATATGCTGCTCCTCAATCTTGAGAGGCAGTGGACAGAGGCAATGTTTCCTGAAACTACTTCCTGCTTCCTCAGAGTTTTAGAGCTGAGTAGAGAAATAGAATCTTTCCCTAGGTATAATAATTTGAGATATGACTGGTTGTCACAGGGTTGTAATCCCAATTACTTGCAGTTTTAATGTTTCCAACTGTTCAGAGACAAAGGAACAAAACAGTTCAATAGAGAAATACCAAAGAGCAGAGATAGGTATATTTAAGTGAGGGTGGTCATGGGATCAAGTAAGGGTCCCATCTATACAAATAAACTAGTTTTTCAATATACTTTGCCTCAGTAACCTTTCCTGTGTCCTCAGTTCCCAGCTGGCCTTGAAACTCAAGGTTGTTGCAGTTACTACAGCTGTAAATACAACCTTCAGAGAGAAAGTTAAGTAATTTTTTTTTTCTATTGTGCTCTTTAAGGTCTGAAAGCAATTTAACCATTTAGATTCAAAAGTCTTCAATTCCTAGTGAGGAAAGAACAGAAGTAGTTAAGTAGTTACTTCATTTGGCATCTTCCCTCTCTCTCTCTTTTTTTTAAAGATTTATTTATTTATGCATATAGGAACTAGGGTGTAAGCCAGAAGGGGGGGAAGGGGGGCTGGGTGTGAGAGGATTCACCAGAGAGAGTGGGAAGCAGAACAGGTAGATCCACTGAAATACACTGCTGGGGGAGCAGTGGGTGAGACAGGAGAGGTCCCCTGCACCATGTGGGTTAGCTCCCTGGCAGGCAGGGATGCTGCAGTGGCTGGCCATAGCTTGATAGCGCTGTGTCTTTAACCCCTGCGCCACCAGGGAGGCCTGGCATCTTCTCTTTTGAGGTACAATATGATCTAAATGTTTCCTTTTCCTGGGCAACTGCATAATTTGCAAATGGTTTCCCAGACACACTCTGTAATGCCCTGGGAATAGGTCAACCCAGCTTGTAAATTTTCTCTTGAAATCTGGAAGACTCAGATTGCTTGGTGGAGACAGTCAAGGTAGGATAGTTCTTTTCATCCTCCTTCCTCTCCATAAACCAGTTCCACCTACTTTCTTATTCGTGAAATACCAGCCAAGGCATTTCTTAATGATTCTTTGATCATTTTATAAGTCTTGGTGATTAACCCTTAGGCCTTCCATGGGTAGAAAAACATGGTGTAACTAGGGTCAGCCAGTACCTGCACTCAACAGGAGCTGCCATCATGTGACAGAAGTTACAAAGTCTCCCCTTGAATCCAAACTCCTTGCTATGTTGGGTTCAAACTAGCATGATAACAAAGTATTTTCTTCTTCATGTCATGAGCCTATTTAAGTAGAAAAATTAATGTAATGGTTTTCTCTTACAGGTAAACAGAAAGAGCTGACTGATAATGTAAGCAGAGCTTTTGAACAAGGTACTTTTTATATTCTTGACTTTATTGAATATGGGAAGAAATTGTAAGCACTGAGGTATAACTTAGTTCAATAAGTAACTATTATATACCTACCACTATGATAGGTACATGATATATGTACTCATATTGATATATGAGTCAACATTTTTGCCTTTAAGGATTCAGTCTTGCTGGAATCTTAACTGAAATTTGGCACAAGCTATGAGCCAAAAACAGTGAAAGATGAGATAAGAGAAAGTGCTTCCATTCCCCTTAAGCAAGTAGGAGAAGATGAGATGAGAGCTGTGTAATATGGGTTGAATCCTACATAGGCAAATTCAAGTAAAAACAACCTTTCCATCCCTGACTTGTGCTAACCCATATGTAAGGGACTTAGGAAAGCAGAAAGCCACTCAAACTAACCCAGATAAAGGAAGCTATTATAAAGAATAAGAGCTGGATGACTCCATATTCCTCCTTTATATATTACCTTATAAGAGCAAGGCCCTGCTCTGTCCCTGGTGAACTCTCTCACCCTCCCGTGCCTCCAGCCTGTACCCCAGCTATTGTATAAATAAAAAAAAAAAAAAATCTTAAAAGAAAAAGAAAAATTTCTGTGAACTATATATAATTTCTGAAATGGTAATGTCTTAACCATACAAAAATAACCTAGGGAAGGCTAGGTACTTACATCTCTTCTTTGACAATGCTTTCCATGTAATTTACTGTATTGAATTAGCCTAATTAATTTAACATCTCTTTAAAAGGTGACAGAACAAATCCTTTGAGGTTTTCCAGGGGCCCTCTCAGAAACTTCAAAGTTAGTTCAAGGTCAAGAAAACTATTTAGAAATGAATTTTGGGAAGTTATGGAGAGTGTAAAAGGTTTGAATATTTAATTAAGTAGGATTATAGGTCACTGTGAAATAATACTTAGTTATCTACTTGTGTAAGTTGATTATAGAAGTATTCAGAGATGCTTCTGTTCTCTAAGTAATCAAGGACATGAAAAAGAGAGCTTAAAGCACTGGAAATTATCAAAAGGTAAAGAAAAAAATATAATTTTTTACTGGGAGTGGACTAATAGTCCAAGAAACTTCATCATTTTAACAGAGAGAAAACGAAGCTCTGTTTTTGTACCAGTACATTGTTAATATTAGAGTTCATTTGCTTTTGTTAAAAAATAAAATTCATTGGAATAAATTTGAAGATCTGATTGACTTTATTCAAAGATTCATGAATTGGGGGGCATCTCATCTAGCAAGAAGATAGGCCTCCAAGGACTTACACAAATGGAAGGTTTTATAGTCAGAAAGAAGGTGGGGACAAAGTTTTTTTTTTTTTTTTTTAAGATTTGTTTATTTAGGGCCTCCCCGGTGGCGCAGTGGTTGAGCGCTGGGTTGCAAAGCTGCCCGCAGCTTCTGCAATGCCGATTCGATCCCCGGCCGCCAGGCGAGGGTCCCACATGGCGCGCAGACCTCTCCTGCTGCCCACTGCTCCCCTCAGCAGTGTACTTTGTCAGTCTGCCTATTCTGCACTCCACTCTGGCTCTGGTAAATTCTTTTACCCTTCTGTGCTTCTGACTGTACCCAGTGCTTGTATAAATAAATAAAAAATAAAATCTTAAAAAAAAAAAAAGATTTGTTTATTTATGCATACAAGAAGGAGGAGCGGGGTGGGGAGGGGTACAGGCCAGAAGTGTTGGGGGTGAGAGGATTCACCAGAGACAGAGGGGAACAGAGCAGGCAGACTGACTGAAATACACTGCTGAGGGGAGCAGCGGGCGAGTCAGGAGAGGTCTGCTGTGCCGTATGGGTTGCTCCCTGGGTGGGGATCAGACTCTTGCTGCAGCTTCATAGGTTGCATCTTAACCCCTTGCACCACCAGGGAGGCCCCAGGACAAAGTTTTTAACAAAAGAAAAGAAAGATTTTTTTCAGGCATGGGAGCTCTTATGCAGATGATCTCAACTAGTGCTATCCTGAAAATTCCAGATTGACTGGTTTAAAATTCTACTTTTGGGAGGAGTTGAAGCAGTCAATTTAGACATTAAGTCTTGCATAAATGATAACATTTAGGGCCTGTTGTCTCTCTTTTAAAGACTATGTATATTCACTATTTAATCTTAGCCAGCTTTCATCTTGAAAATTAAAACTTCTTCTAAACCTACAACTTACTCTATCCATGTTTTCTCTACCCGTTCCTTTTTCCACATTCTATATTAGGACAAAGTTATTCTCTTATTTAGAAATTGTTCAGATATTTAATGACTGTTATGTAATTTAGCATAAGTCCAAGATTGCACATTACCAAAAACATTTTAGAAATGATTTTTACATAAAATATTATAAAGCACAGTTATTGTTGAAGTTAAGTTTGTCAAAATTATTTGAGCAATATAAAATTTGCCATTTTTGTAATTTTAAACATCTAGTAATTATAATATTAGTTTATTTGATTAGTAAACACAAGTAGAATAAATTTTGTGTTTGGACTTTATTTAATGTTACAATTCTGTAGACATACTTATTGACAATATGAAACTAGTCTTATTCACCAAAGATTTACCCACATGACATGAAATTGAAAGAGACTTGAGTTGGTTCCTATATTTTGGGAAGTCTTAGGAAAATTTAATTTGATTAAGTGTATATTCTTTCTAGGTCAATTAAGAAAATTCTTCCAAGGGATTTATGGATTAATTTGGAAATGCTGTTCAGAAGTAGTGAAATACAAACACGTACACACATAAACAGACAAACACAAACAAATTTATAACATTTTTCACTTAAAATTGTTAACTACAGTCAAGCATAAATAAATACAATAATACAGGACTCATAGTTCATGTGTGAGTGGTTCTCATTATTGCTCCATTTTATATATTGTATTTCTGGCAGATAGAACAAGTCACAGATTACCTGCTCAATTTGGGGGCTAAAGCATTCCCCCAATCTTTTTTATTAAAGGTGGATGAGACCTTTAATTTTTTTTTTTTTAAGATTTATTTATTTATTTACACAAGCACTGGGTACAGTTGGAAGCGCAGGAGGGTGAGAGAATTCACCAGAGCCAGAGCGGAGAGCAGAGCAGGCAGTGATGAAATACATTGCTGAGGGGAGCAGCGGGCAGCAGGAGAGGTCTGCGCGCCATGTGGGACCCTCACCCAGTGGCCGCAGATCACCAGGGATCGAACCGGCGCTGCAGAGGCTGCGGGCAGCTTCGCAACCCAGCACTCAACTGCTGCACCACCGGGGAGGCCCGAGACCTTTAATTTTTTTAATTTTTTATTTGCCCTGATAAATAATCTTATGGAAATTGTGGATTAAATATGTCTGTTTCCATTTAGCTTTTTTCTTTCAGCTTTAGATGGTTGCTTTTGGAGGTATCTGAGTCACTTGCGAGCCCATGCTATGTATAGGGAACCCAAAGTTTCAGTGGTTTTAGGGTGTTGTCAGGAGTGGGAAGGGAAAGGTCTGGCAGGATGGACAGAGGAATAGAGGAGGTAGAGGATTGAATGGGAGCCATATCAAAGGATGCAGAGTATTTGAAGGGAGGATGGAAGGTGGTAGTCAAAAAAGGAATGGAGAAAATGGGAAGGAGAGGTCTTGGAGGAATTACTTCAAGGTCCTAAATTTCCCAAAGAAGCTATGGATGTTCTAGATTTTCATAGGTAAAGTCATACTACCAAGAAGAGAAGTGGACAGAGCTCTGTGGTAATGCATTAGCAGGGAGTCAAGACGAAGGGTTTCAGTTAACTGAGATGTTTCCATGTGAGAAGCAGAATCAAATGGAGAAAACAAAGAGACCTCACAAGGAAAAAGAAATGTCTAGCCCAGGACTCAGTCCCCACTTGAATCAAGGAAGCAGGAAGAATTCTGGTCCAGGTCTCTAACCCAGCCTCAGAGAATATTCTCAGCATGTAAGAATCAAAATCTGTCTTCATTGGATTTTAGTGGACCTTCATCTAAGGAATGAGTCAGGAGTGAAACTCAAATCACTGTACACCCCAAAAACAAGCATACTGGAGATGAGAAAGTGCATATGAAAAGTCCAGTTGTCATATCCAAGGGCCTGAGTTGCTTCTAATCCAAACCAGAGTCACAGTACCAGGTAACAGTCAAAGATAAACAAGCCAGACATCAGTTCAAATGCTAAGGAGAGATTTTAATCAGTAATAACTCTTGCGATGGGGAAAAGATTCCAGCATGAACTGAATTCAATGTTGGTTTGACTGTTTATTTTAAAGGAAAAATGAGGAAGTAAGGAGGGGACACACAGGACTCAGTAGAGTCAAGAAAGTGAAAAAAATTGCAGGAGGCCATGGTTGTTCCATGTAAAACCATTTGAATTTGCTGAGCATTTATTTATTTTTTTAATTTATTTTTATTTATGCATACAAGAACTGGGGTATAGTCCAGAGGTATGGGGTGGTGAGGGGCAGGTGTGAGAGGATTCACCAGAGAGAGTGGGAAGATGAACAGGCAGATCTACTGAAACACACTGCTGAGGGGAGCAGTGGGCAAGACAGGAGAGGTCTGCTATGCCATGTGGGTTGCTCCCTTGGCCGGGGATCGAACTCATGCTACAGTGGCTGAGGATAGCTTCATAGGTTGCATCTTAACCCTCTGTGCCAACAGGGAGGCCCCTGAGCCCTTTTCTTGATTAACCCTTAGCCTTGACCTTTAAAGACTTGAACATATACTAACATAATTTCTTTTTAATATATTTTTTAAATTTTTATTTATTTTTGTGTAGAAGAACTGGGGTATAGGCCACAGGTGTGGGGGGTGAGAGGATTCATCAGAGGCAGGCAGACTGGAGAACAGAATAGGTGGATTTACTAAAATACACTGCCAAGGAAAGCACTAGGTGAGACAGGAGAGGTCTGCTGGTGAGACTGGGTTGGCTTCCTGGCTGGGATGGAACTCAGGCCAAAGCGGTGAAACACCTCTGTCTACACCCCAGTTCTTGTATGCATAAATAAATAAATCTTGAAGAAAGAAAGGGGCTCAGAGGAGCTTGGCTACCTTTGGTTTTAAAGAGGATTCTTTTTAGCCACCCATATTATAGAATTTTCCACAATAACTAATAGGTAGAACCATCAGTGGTTCAATGAATAAACAAAATATTGCACATCCATTAACTGGAATATAATTCAACCCTATAAAGGAAGGAAATTCTGATACACGCGATAACATGGATGAATTTTGAGGATATTATGTTAAATGAAATAAGCCAGTCACAAAAAGAAAAATCCAGAGGAGCCCACTGTTTAGGTTCATAGAGTCAGAAGTAGAATGGTGATTGCCAAGGACTAGACAGAGGGTGAAATGAGAAGTTATTATTTCATAGGTAGAGTTTCCAATTTGAAGGATGAAAAATGCTGGTGATGACTGTACCACCTTGATGTCACTGCACTCCAGGTTTAAAAATGGTGACAATGATAAATTTTATTTTAATGTTAATATTTTATCACAGTTAAAATAATTTGTGTAAATTAAATAAAGAAATAGAACATGACCCTTCCCATCCAAGTCTCTAGTAGGTCCTTTGCAAATGCATCCCCCTCATTAACCATTCTGATTTGTGTTAATCATTCACTTCCTTTTCTTGGTCATTCTAATCATATATGATTATTGTGGTATGTTACTTAGTTTTGCATATATCTTAAGTCAGGGTTTTTCAAGCTTAAAACTGACAATTCAGGTAAGTGGACGGGGGAAACTGTCTTGTACGCTGCACAATGATTAGAAGCACCCCTGGTCTCTGTCCACTGGATGCCAGTGCCACTTCCCCAGCTATGACCAAAAATGTCTCCAGTTATTCCAAACATCCCCTTGGGCACAAAATAAACCCCAGTCAAGAACAACTGGTCTGAGGGCATCATTCCTAGAGACAATCTTCTAAGGGAGCATTGCACCTCAGCAGAGGAAATATTCATTGCTTCAACATCCTTCTCAGGATTTCATCCCCTTGTATGATGAGAGAGAACTCTTAAATCACAACTATTTTACTACTTGGGGACTGTCCTGGAAAGAATTGACTTCTCCTATTTAAAGTTTGAATCCTGTAAGCAACATGCATTTACCCACTTTTTGTTAAACCCTTTGTCCCTATAGCAATCCAAATGTTCTTCCTCTCTGTCACTTAGATTTACTGAGTAATTGATCTGCCAGAGCCAGTTCTACTTATATTTAGTTGCTTTGATCAAGAAGGTTGGTTTTTTTTCTTGCTTGAAATGAACCTCTCATTAATGTCTCTTTATTTCAGATGATTTTGAAAAAGCCAAGGAAATATTAACAAAGATGAAATACTTTTCAAACGTGGAAGAACAGATCAAGTTAAAGAAAATTCCCCTCTAATAGTTGCTAATTTTAAAGTTTTTAAAATAAAGTTCTTGCATATTTCCCTTCTGGTTTCTGCTAATTGAAAATAGATATACTGTAATCACTTATCTTAATTAAGGATGTGATTCAATCATTAATAGATGGCCAAGTTCGTCATGCCGGTGGAAATACTTCTCACCAGAGCCTAAGTGGTCAGTTCTTCTGTGATACCTGATGCATCATGCCACTATCTAGGCCAGTGGATGAGAAGATGGGGAGAGAGCCAACCTGAGGCTCTGTAGTAGGGGTCAGCAAACTTTCTCTGCAAAAGACCAGGTAGTAAATATTTGACTCTGCCATTGTAGAACTTTATTTATAAAACAGGTAGTGCTCTAGATTTGGCCTTGGGCTTGCCAGCATCCCCTCAACATACCTACTTTCTAATGGCGTGATCTTCAGTAATAGATAATCCCCTCATTAGTGTGGCCTTCAGGACATTCTACAACCATGCAAAGATGCCTACAGGTATTTTATTTCAAAATGTAGATAATATTATGAAGAATTAGTCTGGGGACTTCCCTGGTGGTACAAGGGGTTAAGTCTCAACACTATGAAGCTATCCACAGCAACTGCAGCACCAGTTCAATCACCTGCCAGGGAGGTGACCCACATGGCGCAGCAGACCTCTCCTGTCTCACCCTTTGCTCCCCTCAGCAGTGTATTTCAGTAGATCTGCCTGTTCTGCTTCCCACTCTGTCTCTGGTGAATCCTCTCACCCTCTGCACCTCTGGCCTATACACCAGTTCTTGTATGCATAAAGAAATAAATCTTTAAAAAATAAAAAGAATTAGTCTGTTTATTCTTTTTTGGTCCTTTCTGGTTGCCTAGGGGTGAATTCTCAGCTCTACCACCTTTGGCCTGATTTAGATCCCTTACCAGGGAAGTGACCCACATGGCACAGCAGACCTCTCCTGTTTAGCCAGCTGTTCCCCTCAGCAGTGTATTTCAGTAAATCCACCTGTTCTGCTCCCCACTCTGTCTCTGATGAATCCTCTCACACCCCAGCACATTTGGCTTACACCCCAGTTCAGTTCTTCCATACCAAAAAAAAAAATAGTGATGGGAAGGAAATCAATAAACATTAAAAATAAAATTAGTCAATTTCTCTCAGGGCAGTTGACACTTTCTTAGCCCAAATCAGCTCTACTTCCCTTGTAGATCTTTAGAAATTCAGTTTAAACTCTTGATTTATTAAAAAAAAAAATTTAGGACCCCCCTGGTAGCGCAGCGGTTGAGCCCTGGGCTGTGCAGCGCCGGTTTGATCCCCGGCAGCCGGGCGAGAGTCCCACATGGCGCACAGACCTCTCCTGCCGCCCGCTGCTCCCCTCAGCAGTGTACTTCGTCAGTCTGCCTGCTCTGCTCTCCCCTCTGGCTCTGGTGAATTCTCTCACCCTCCCGCGCTTCTGACTGTACCCAGTGCTTGAATGAATGAATGAATGAATGAATAAATAAATAAATAAATACATAAATACATAAATACATAAAATTTAAGTCTCTGGCTCAAGAAAGATTAAAGTAGGACATTTTGATTAAAAAAATTCCAAGAAACAGGGCCTCCCCGGTGGCGCAGCAGTTGAGCGCTGGGTTGCGAAGCTGCCCGCAGCCTCTGCGGCACTGGTTCGATCCCCGGCTGCTCCCCGGCCACCGGAGGAGGGTCCCATATGGCGCGCAGACCTCTCCTGCCACCCGCTGCTCCCCTCAGCAGTGTACTTCGGTCCTTCTGCCTGCTCTGCTCCCCGCTCTGGCTCTGGTGAATTCTCTCACCCTCCCGTGCTTCTGACTGTACCCAGTGCATGTATAAACAAAAAACAAACAAACAAATAAATAACATGCCTCTATAAAAAAAAAAAAAAACTTTAAAAAAAAAAAAAATTCCAAGAAACAACATTCAAACTCTTAAGGGAAAATAAACTGTTAGAATTTGAACCAAGGTTAAATACTAAAAACTGCAACTCCTTTGCAGCCTCCTTCCTTGTCTAAGAATTTATGTCTTCTTCCCAGTTATATTCAGTTAACATTTTAGGATGTATGGATCTTCTGAAAGCAAATTAACCCATAGCCACTTGCCAGTATAATAGTACTTGGGAATATCAGTACAATCGTCAACCCCTTCACAGTTTATAAGGAGAAAGACTTAATTGTCTGAAACACACACAAGTCTTTTAAGTAAATAATTACAATGCAAGCAAATGTCCTGATTAAATTGACTGCTTCTGCAGAAAAGGAGATGAAAGCAGTATTTGAAATACTTCTGCAGACAGTTTTCATTCCTTTTGCACAACAATGATCAAGACCAAAACAATCTGACTACAAAAAGAAATCAGATAAATGTTGCCTCAAATGACATTTTTGGCAGAACTTCAGAGAAACTTGCCCTTATCCTACCTGTTACCATCAGCTAGAAAAGTCACTGGGTTTCCCAGAAAACCATTTCCAACTTAGAGGATAAATAGAAAAGACTGAGTCAAGTGGGTTTCTTTTTCCTCTTCCAAATTCTTTCCCTTTTAGCCTAAACTCCAAGTTTAGCTGAACTTCTGAATCTAGGAACCCTTTCAAATGCCATATCTGACAAATTCCTATGGGAGATAAGCTAGTCATCTGAAAGGTTAGCAGCCCTATTTGTTGTTTGTTGTTTTTTTTTATGATTTATTTATGCACACGAGAACTGGGGTGCACTCCAGAGGTGCGGTGGGTGAGAGGATTCAACAGAGACAGAATGCGGAACAGAACAGGCAGATTGACTGAAATACACTGCTGAGGGGAGCAGCGGGCGAGTCAGGAGAGGTCTGCCACGCCATGTGGGCAGCTCCCTGGCTGGCTGGGGATCAAACTCATAATACTGTATCAGTCTCTTATTATAACTCTATTATAACTCTAACTACTTTTTCCAGTATGAGTTGTATTAATTTGTGACTTTCTAGGAACTTTTCCATTTCACCTAAATTATCTCATTTGTTTGCATACATTTTTTCATAGTATTTCCTTATATTTGCTTGTTCATTTTTTATTTTAGTAATGTGAGTGTGAATTTTCTGGGTTTTTTTTTTTTTTTTTTTTTTTTTTTTGTCAAACTAAAAGCTTGTCAATAGTGTTGATCTTTTCCAAAACTAACCTTGGTTTTGTTGATTTTTCTGTGTTTTTTCAACTCTATTTTATTTATTTCTGCTCTAATCTTTATTATTTCCTTCCTCCTGCTTACTTTGGATTTGGTCGGCTCTTCCCTTTCTAATTTCTTAAGTTAGAAGTTGAGGATATTGATTTGTGATTTTTTTCTTTTTTTCTAAATAGGTGTTTTTAGCTCTGAAACCCCCTCTAGGCATTTCTTTAGCTGAATCTCATAAGTTTAGGTATATTACGTTTTCATTCAAAGCACTTCATAATTTCCCCTGTGATTTCTTCTTTTCCCCTTTGATTCTAACAGCTCTTAATGAAAGCAAGTTTCAGAATTTTCTTTCTTATAAAAACTGAGCAAACAGGCAGGAAACAGCTATGTGATTTATTCTAGAATATCCAATCCCAGCTCTGTTTCTCCAAAAACTCTTCACAAAAAGTTCATCTGAGGCAAATGAAAAGTATTCCAGTGGCAAGATATGACTAAGAACCCTCCCTACCAGTATGAGGCACTAGATCATGTAAGAATTGAACCTGGGGGCCTGCCCGGTGGTGCAGTGGTTGAGCTCTGGGTTGCAAAGCTGCCCACAGCCTCTACGGCGCCAGTTCGGTCCCTGGCCACCAGGTGAGGGTCCCACATGGCGCGCAGACCTCTCCTGCTGCCCGCTGCTCCCCTCAGCAGTGTATTTTGTCAGTCTGCCTGCTCTGCTCTCCGCTCTGACTCTGGTGAATTCTCTTGCCCTCCCATGCTTCTCACTGTACCCAGTGCTTGCTTGAATAAGTAAATAAATCTTTAAAAAAAAAAATTGAACCTGGGGTGCCATCTTGATTGTGCAAGAATGAAAGCCTCCCTAGATTTTTTTTTAAGATTTATTTATGCATATAAGAATTGTGGTATAGGCTAGAGGTGCTGGAGGGTGAGAGGATTCACCACAGACAGAGTGGGGAGCAGAACAGCAGGCAGAGCTTCCATATGATCCAGCAATTCCACTCCTAGGTATTTACCCAAAGGACATAGAAACATCAATTCCAAAGAGCACCTGCACCCCTATGTTTATAGCAGCACTGTTTACAATAGCTAAGCTTTGGAAACAACCCAAATGCCCAAAAATAGATGACTGGATCAAGAAGATGTGGTACATATACACCATGGAATATTACTCAGCATTCAAAAAAGATAAACACATGCAATTTGCAGCAACATAGATGGCGCTGGAAGGGATCATGCTCAGCGAAATAAGCCAGAAAGAAAAAGAAAAATACCAGATGGTCTCACTCATAGCAGGAATCTAGAAAACTTAAATAAGGGACCAGGAAAATGAATAACTATAAGAAAGTGAAAATCAAAATCAACAACAACTATGAACCAGAGACACTCTATGGAGGGTGGGGGGTGGGGAGGGGAGGGATTGGGGTCAAAATGGGGGGGTTGCAATTGTATGGGGAATATAAAAATAAAATTTATTAAAAAAATAAAATCAGTTTCCACAAAGTAAAAAAAAAAAAAAGAACAGCAGGCGGATTGACTGAAAAACACTGCTAAGGGGAGCAGCAGGATAGACAGGCGAGTTCTGTTGCGCCATGTGGGTTATTGGCTGGGGATTGAACTTGTACTGCAGAGGCTGCAGATAGCTTGATAGTGCTGAGACTTAACCCCTTGTGCCACCACGGAGACCCTGATCTATGTATCTTAAAGACTGCTTGTGTTATTAATGAAAAACTGACTCTAACACTGATAATGTTAATGAACAGAAATTGCTAGAGTTCAAAATCGTGACAGATGGCCAAAACTTTGTAGTAACTTTCTTTGATTAAGTTTCCTGACTGCCCAGGTATGTGTTCTGTGATTAGGGAAGAACATGCCCATCTTGGAGTGGACCAACAAACACATTGTATCACACAGTCTGTACAGAAATACTATAAAGAAAATTGCAGGCCACCTCATAGTAAAACGCAGGAGGAAATATACCTGTGTCCAATTTTTAAAATAAATTCAGTTTTATTTAAAAGAAGACAAGCATGTGAGGGCTATGAGAACATTATAACAAATAGTTCGGAATGTATATAGGAACCTCTCTATTGTTCCTTGGGACAATGTGGAAACAAGGAAGAAAATTCACTGCTCAAACCAACTGCCCATTTTTTTCTGCCCCAATCATGGGTACCAAGGAAACCAAGGAACATTGTTGTCATTGTCATTCATGTTAGCCTCAAAGAGCTGTGTGAAAATCCTTTTCCTATTTCCTAATTTCCTTAAGTTAGAAGTTGAGGATATTGATTTGTGATTTTTTTATTTTTTTCTAAATATGTGTTTATAGCTATAAAACCCCCTCTAGGCATTTCTTTTCAAGCTCTTGGCAAAATACATTCCATAGGGTACTCCAAGAGTTTAAAATAGTATTTCTTGTCATTGCTGCCATCTATAATACCTCCTTTCTTCTGACTCCCAAAGTGCCAGACATATGATATACTAGAAAGGTCTGTTTGGCAATTGTTACCAAGAAGGATGAAGTTTGAAGGTGGGAGAGAGGAACCAAAAGACACTCAATAGAAAATTGAAGAAGAGGACCTCCCCGGTGGCACAGCGGTTGAGCGCTGGGTTGCGAAGCTGCCTGCAGCCTCTGCAGCGCCGGTTCGATCCCCGGCTGCTCCCCGGCCACTGGAGAAGGGTCCCACATGGCGCGCAGACCTCTCCTGCCGCCCGCTGCTCCCCTCAGCAGTGTACTTCGGTCCTTCTCTCTGTTCTGTTCCCTGCTCTGGTGAATTCTCTCACCCTCCCGCGCTTCTGACTGTACCCAGTGCTTGTATAAATAAATAAATAAATATTTAAAAAAAATAATAAAAAAAATAAAGGTTTAAAAAAAAAAGAAAATTGAAGAAGGGCCTGCCTGGTAGCACGGGGGTTAAGACACAACCTATGAAGCAATCCGCAGCCACTGCAGCACGAGTTTGATACTCAGTCAGGGAGCTACCCACATGGCACAGCAGACCTCTCCTGCCTCACCCGCTGCTCCCCTCAGCAGTGTATTTCAGTCAATCTTCCTGTTCTGCTCCCCACTCTCTCTGGTGAATCCTCTTACTTCCCCACACCTCTGGCTAACACCCCAGTACTTGTATGCATAAATAAATAAATATTTAAAAGAGAAGAGGACCATCACATAGTATTAAAAAGAGCATCACATAGTATAAAACAAAACAAAACAAAACAAAACAAAACACCTTTTAGCAGCATGTGACCAGATGCAGTCTGTCCTACCCCAGATAGCATCCACTGGGCAGAGGCGGGAGTGCAAGCAGTGAGAGTTCCTGTATCCTCCAAGCATAAATGGGAATGCAAACAGGAACCAGTCAAAAAGGAAAGCAAGAAAGCAACCCCCTTGTGTTCCATCTTCTTGAAGTCCACATAGTGATTCTACTATGCCCCTCAGTCTGGAAATCTCCATCTTTTCCATCAGGTAGGCTAAGAACATCACCCAGTGGCTCTGAGGTTGTTCATCACTGTTCTACTAACACCTCCAAAGCCCACCTTGTCAATCTCCCAGTCTTGGCCCCAGGTCCATCCTTCACCTCTGCCTGCACTTACCATGGTAGATGCAGCCTGGCCATGGGTAGGGACCCTCCATTCAGACCACAGCCCCCATGGTTGTTCTGCATCCTCTAGCACTTAGAACAGATGCTTCCTTTGAGAAGTTGCACACCTGTTTGGACTGTCAGTGACAATACCTGAACATGCAGTATTACTTTGTTCTTGAAACCATGGGTGTTGTCATTTTAAGAATAAGCATTAGGGGCCTCCCTGGTGGCACAAGGGGTTAAGTCGCAGCACTATGAAGCTATCTGCAGCCACTGCAGCACCAGTTTGCTCTCCAGCCAGGAAGGTGACCCAATCGTGCAGCAGACCTCTCCCCTTTCGCCCGCTGCTCCCCTCAGCAGTGTATTTCAGTAAACCCACCTGTTCTGCTTCCCACTCTGTCTCTGGTGAATCCTCTTACCCCCCAACACCTCTGCCCAGCACCTCAGGTCTTGTATGCATAAATAAATAAATAAATCTTTTAAAAAATGGATTTAAAAGAAAAAAAAGAATAAGCATTAGTTCCTTAGGAATTGTAATGGTTAATTTTATGTGTCGACTTGACTAGGCTAAGAGTTGCCCAGATAGCTGCTAAAACATCATTTCTGGATATGTCTCTGAGGGTGTTTCTGGAGGAGATTAGCATCTGAGCTGGTGAACTGAATAAAGCAGATGGTTCTTCAAAGTGAGAGGGCATTATCCAATTCATTGAAGGCCTGAACAGAATAATAAAAAGGCAGAGAGAAGGTGATTTGACTTTCTCTCTCTCCGCTTTAGCAGAGACATCCATTTTTTGGCTTTCGATTACAGCACTCCTGGTTCTCAGGTTTCAGACTCAAATCCATACTTAACATTATTAGTTTCCTAATTCACAGGCCTTTGGACTCAGACTGAATTACGTCAATGGTTTACTGGTTCTCCAGTTTGCAGTCCACAGATAGTGGTGCCTCTCAGCTTCTATTACCTTGTGAGTCAATTCCTATAACATATCACACACACACACACACACACACACACACACACACGCGCGCGCGCACATACACACTATTAATTGTTTTTTTGCCAAACTGACTAATACAGGGATCTTCTTGTTTCAACAGGAACTTTGTTGCCGCTTTGCAGTAGGAACATGATAAGAGACACAACAGTCCTGGAGCAGGTTTGCAAGGCAAGGCTCTGCTACTTGAGCAGAAGTTCTTGTGCTATTTATTGAAAGCATGCAGGCTGGTAAAAGCTGATCATGTGACAATAGTATGAGGAATCAAGTCCAGATGGTGGGATAAGAAGAGGGGACAAAGTTTTACATGAAACAGAGAATGGGACATTGTGACCATATGTCATGAGAGATTTGTGTCAGCAAAGTATTTGATGTTATCACAGGCAAAATTATCCCGAGACCACTGTGGAGGTAGTCACATAATCAGGTCAACAGCGGCCTAGGCATTCCTGGGCCTGCCTTGTGATACAGGCTATACTCCATAGGTAGTCAAGGAATGCTCTGCTGTGATTTGTAGATAGCAAATAGGTCACAGTTGCCCATGAGTAGCCAGTTAGTAGCCAACTCACAGGAACCCACAACTTCCCTTAAATATGCATTTCGTGGATGTTCAGCTGACTCCTAAGCCTCACTTTTATCCTCTTCATACAGAAATATACAAGTACCTGTATGTATGTATTATACACTAGACTAGGTATGTATGTGCACACAAAAAAGACTGAGAGAACTTGGAACTATCTGCAGGATGGTATTAACATGGTTTTTATTTGTTTCTCTAAACTCTTATCACCATGTCTAGTATTTATTTATTTATTTATAGCTTTCCATGCATTTGCGCATATATTTATTTATTTCTAATCATGGTAATGGTTTACAACTCAGCATAGGTGTAGGGGAGAAGATTCACATCTCTTCAGATGTATGTTACCCTAATTTTTTAAGAAGATTTATTTATTTATACAAGACCTGGGGTACAGGCCAGAGGTGTGGGGGGTGAGAGGATTCACCAGAGACAGAGTGGGGAGCAGAACAGGCAAATCTATAGAAATGCACTGCTGAGGGGAGTGGTCTGCTGTGCCATGTGCGTTAGCTCTCTGGCGATGGATGGGAACTCATGCTGTAATGGCTGCTGAGACTTAAACCCTTGTGCCACCAGGGAGACTCCAGCTGTGAGGTTTTTAACTGAACCTTTATGCTATTCTCTCCAAGGCATCACCAACTTTGTTTATATTAAAACATAAAAAGTATTAATAGCTGACATATAATGTGTGTACTGTTACATAGATAGTGCTCTAAGAGTTCTAATGTTAATTCATTTACTTCTTCAGACCTATAAAGATAGGTATTACCATCACCGGGTTTTACTATTGAGAAAACCCAACTACAGAGCTAACATAACTTTCAGAATGAGGGTTAGAGCCTGCCAGAAGCATTCTCAAATCTTGGCAACACCGCCTTGGCGGCCATCTTGTTTGTAGTCGTCCAGGACTACAACTCCCGGCACCCCTCGCGGCCTCAACTCATCACACACAACAAATCCCAGCGTGCCCCTGGGCGGCCCGGGGTGGAGGATTCTAGAAGGCGTGACGTGGGGTCGGGAGTGGGCTCGGAGGCGGGCTTCTCTCGGCAGTAGCTGTGGCCGCAGCTGTCGAGCCTGGGGCCGTGAGTGGTGGGGGCCGCGGGCGCAGCCTCTTCGTCTCCCCAGCCATGGCCGCGCTGGGCCGGCCCTTCAGCGGCCTCCCCCTGAGTGGCGGCTCGGACTTCCTGCAGCCGCCGCCGGCCTTCCCCGGCCGGGCCTTCCCCCCGGGGGCGGACGGCGCGGAGCTGGCCCCGCGGCCAGGACCCCGCGTCGTCCCGAGCTGCCCGGGCGGGGGAGCGGCGCGCGGACGGTGAGGAGCCCCGCGGACGTGGAGCGGGCGGGCGGGCGGGATGTGGCGCTCCCGGCGGGCGCGGGCTCCGCGCAAGGTCTGGTGGCCGCCTCTCCTCACGACCCTTGGCTGTAGACTTCTCGTCGCTTTCACAGACGAGGAAACTGATCCCCAGAGACGTTAACTGTAGGTTGCCTGAGGGCGCGCAGCCCCGGAGAGTCCAGTTGGGACCTGGGCCGCCAGCGCCTTGGGGAAGTGGGGAGACTTTCCCTGCTTCAGCCAGGTGGTGCGCGGCTGGGAACTCGGGCCGATTGGAGCCTGGATGTCCCCTCAGCGAGTACACACTCCCCTTCCAGGTGGTGACAACTTTCAGTGCTTCTCGGCCACTCAGTTTCCTCATCCACAGAGTGGGACAGAAATGGGTCCTCGTAGAGAGATCATAGAAACAAGCGCTTAGCACTGTGCTGGCCCGAACACCGTTTCTCTACGTTGACTTCTTTCCCCGGCTCCCCACCCCACCCCCAAACCCCGTTTAAGCCCCATTACCGTCACAGAATGCAAAATTTACATTTCCATCTCTACCCGCCGTCAGGAACACCCCCATTTCCACCTAGCTAGGTGACCTGTATATCCATCCCACTCGCAAGGAGAGGTACTGTTGGGTGGGCCGGATTATTGGCTTATGAGAAAGCGTGGATGCTGAAGACTATAGACAGAAATTTCTCAGTTGACTCATGTTTGTTTGTTTCCACAGTGTTCCCGTTCACTGTAAAAAGAAACACAAGCGGGAAGATGAAGAGGACGAAGAGTAAGTTTTCAGGGGTCATTTATTCAGTTGATAGTCGTTTAACTGGTTTTAAGTGAAGAGGTAAAACTGAAGTGTCTCTGCCTGGAGGTACAAGAAACTTATAACATTGGTTGCCTTTTAGAGACAAATACTGGGTGACCCACAGTAGGGTTAGAGGGAAAGTTTTCACTATGATGGTAATGTGTGAATTTTGAATCATGTGGCTATTACATGCACAAAGGAAAAGAATTCCAAGTGTGCAAAAGGATACATATTGAAAAGTCTTATTCTTCACACTGCCACCTCTCCCCAAAGGCAAACCCTGTTATCTGTTTCTCCTTTGGAAAATAAAACTTTCAAGCTATAAGTATATACACCTCTATTTTTGTATGTTTGTAAGAAGATACTGTTCACACTGTGCAATACACTGATCTTTTCACTTCACTCTTCTAGTGTTTTCTGTCATCACAGAGTTCTACCTAATTTCTTTTTCAACAGTTGAATGAAATTCTGTTATAAGCCTAGGTAGAGATAACCAGTCTCTTGATGAATTCCTAAGTTACTTCTAATCTTTTGCTATTACTGACACATCTACCATGACCTTTAAGGTTTTTTGTCTATATTTGCAGTGAATTCCTAGATGGGCAGTTGCTGGGTTTTATATACTTTTTAAATTTTGACAAGAATTGTTGTCAAGTTACACTCCTTTTAACAGCAGAAATGCCTGTTTCTCCATCTTCCTAGAAGACCTATATTGTTCACCCTTATTTTTTGCCACCTAACTGATAGGTAAAAGATTACATCTTGGGCCTCCCCTGTGGCGCAGCGGTTGAGCGCTGGGTTGCGAAGCTGCTTGCAGCCTCTGCAGCGCCAGTTAGATCCCCAACTGCTCTCCGACCACCAGAGGAGGGTCCCACATGGCGCGCACACCTCTCCTGCTGCCCGCTGCTCCCCTCAGCAGTGTACTTCGTCAGTCTGCCTGTTCTGTTCCCTGCTCTGGCTCTGGTGAATTCTCTCATCCTCCCGCACTTCTGACTGTACCCAGTGCTTGCATAAATAAATAAATAAATAAATAAATAAATCTTTAAAAAAAAGAAAGTACTGGAAAAATGATATTTAAAAAAAAAAAATTACATCTCATAGACAGGTATTCTAATAAAAACATGAGTAAAAGAATTCCCCAAAGAAGATATTCAAAGGCCCAACCAAATAAAAGGATGTTTGACCTCATCCTTCTTAAGGGAAATGCATATTAAAGCCACAATGAGGTACTCCTTCACCATGTTACTCCAGCAAATACTGGATGTGTTATGGAGCAATAGAAATTCTCAGACACTAGGATGAGACTGTAAACTTTCCCAAATTCTTTGGGAAAGAATTTGGCATTATAAAAATGAGAGTATGTGTACCCTTTCATCCAATAGTTACCTCCCTGAGTATGTACACAGAATACATGTACATCAGGAGACATGGACAAGAAAATCCATAGCAATCTTGTTCATAATATCTTAAAACGAAATAACTCAAATGTCCCCCCACAATAAAATGGATAAAGTAAATTACAAATTCATAGTGCAGTTCTAGTCACCAAAAAAGAAAAAATAAAAGGACTATACCTATCAATATGGACTATACCTATCAATATGGATGTATGTGATTATAATAAGTATAATATAAGCAAAAGAAACATCACAAGGATATATACAGTGAAATTCTTTAAATACAAAGTTAAAAACTAGGCAGAACTAAGCATTAGTTCGCCTGCTACATATCTAGTAGTGGACTTTTTTTTATTTAAAGATTTAATTTATTTATGCATACAAGAACTGTGGCCTAGGCCAGAGGTGGGGTGGGGTGAAAGGATTCATCAGAGACAGAGTGGAGAGCAGAACTGGCAGATCTACTGAAATACTCTGCTGAGGGATGCAGCGGGTGAGACAGAAGTCTGCTTTGCCATAAGGGTTAGCTCCCTGGCCTGGGATCAAACTCAGGCTTCAGTGGCTGGTGATAGCTTGATAGTGCTGAGGCTTAACCCCTGTGCCACCAGGGAGACCCTAGCAGATAATTTTTTTAAGATTTATTTTTATTTATGCATATAAGAACTGGGGGGTAGGCTAGAGATGCAGGGGGTGAGAGGATTCACCAGAGACAAACTGGGGAGCAGAACAGGCAGATTGATTGAAATACACTGCTGAGGGGAACAACGGGGCGAAACAGGAGAGGTCTGTTGTGCTATATGTGGGTTAGCTCCCTGGCTGGGGATCAACTCATGTTGCAGTGACTAGGGATAGCTTGATAGTACTGAGATTTAACCCCTTGGACTGGGAGGCCATGGACATTTTTTTTTTTTAAGAAAGTAATTTTAAAGGATAGTGTTTACCTGTAAGTTAAGCATTCTGGGATGCTGACAGCATGCTATATCTTGGGTGATATTTTAATGGATGTTTGTTTTGTAAGTATTCATTAAATTGTGTTTACTTTTATGAGTGTAGGATTTAATTGTTAAAGAGAAGTTAGAGCACATTAATTTGTATTTTGAAAATTATAAGTGTTGAACGTCTTTTCATTTAAGGCATTTGTGTTTAATTTTTCTGCAAATTATTGGCTGATTGTTTTCTGTTGTTGACCAATGAGAAATCTTTATTAAACAAATCAGTTTATTATGTGTGTTATAAATGTTTTCCCCAAATTGGTCATTTTTCTAACTTTGCGTGTGATTTTTTTTTTTTTTTTTTTGCCAGCGGAAACTGTGGGTTCTCTAAACTTATTGATAACATGTTCATAAGAAAGTGGATTGTGAAGTTGCCTTAGTTTAAAAAGCATTAAACCTGACAGTATTTATGCTCTTTATTGCCTTGGGATTGCTTGGGGATACACAGGCACCTTTTTGCTTTTACTAGGGGTTCCCTATAAGGGATTATTGAATAAAAGTTTCCAGTGTTAAAAATCAATTAAAATTTTGAAGTGTAAAAATTATTGACTTAAAAGTAAGCCACCTTTAATATACAGATGGAGAGATTGATGGCCTGGGAGAATAAGAAACTCAGCATTTGGTTGTCTGATTCTAAAAGCGTGCAGCCTAACTGCCACTTCTGTAGCTCTTATCAGTATTTTGAAGTCTTTTATATCAGTTTTTTATTGCTCTCTAATTATTTGCAAATTGGACCTACAGTCATGAAACAGTTTATCGTAAGTCATGTTGCAGGTCAGAGAACCCAGCTCTTACACTCAGTTGCTTTTAATATTTGATTGTTAGGTGTGCTAGGAAATGTATCTCTTCCTTCTAGATATGTTCTGCTTTTTCTCAATCGGCTTTTTCTTTTGTATATATATAACTTCTCTTCAGCTTTCCAAAATATCACATACTTTGAAATTATATAAATATTACAGAATATTTGTTGTTTAGATAGACATTCTTAAAACTTCTGTATTAACTAATTATAAAGAAAACATTATACAGTAGTTTCAATTAAAAATCTAGGTTCAAGAGCACATTATTGTCATTTTTTATATTGATAGAGACTTTAATGTTAATTATCAGAGTCTTAACATGGAATGGAAATTTCTTCTTGTAAATTGTATGCTACGTACATGCTTTGACCCTCAGTTTAGAATGAGAATCTATAGTAACCATTAATTTTGTTGGAAAACTGTTCTGGTCTTAAGATTACAGTTGCTGATACCCAGGAAATAAAGTACTTTTGGTCTAAATGCATACATAGAATAGGGTCAGTTGTCTGTTTAATTTACTTTTTAGACAGCTTTCAACTAAACACTGGGTGTCTTATGGTGCTTGCAAATACTAATACAAGGTATTGTAAGAACTTGAACAGTGTAATTATCCTAAGTAGGCAAGAGGTTTTAGTGGAAACGGCATAGACGTAGGATTCAGGAACTCTCAAGTCTATTTCCCAAAATGCAATTCACTATCTTATTGTAACACTTCAGAGGAAGCACTTTAGATTTTCTAGATCCTAGTTTCCAGATTTGCAAAGCAAATTTGATGAACTCTTTTTTTTTTTTAAAGGTTTATTTATTTATGCATACAAGAGCTGGGGTACAGGCCAGAGATGCAGGGGGTGAGAGGATTCACCAGAGACAGAGTGAGTAACAGAACAGGCAGATTGACCAAAGTACACTGTTGAGGGGAGCAGCGGGTGAGTCAGGAGAGGTCTGCTGCACCATGTGGGTTGCTCCCTGGCTGGCCAGGGATTGAGCTTGTGCTGCAGAGGCTGCAGATTGCTTCATAGTGTGGTGCTTAACCCCTTGTGCCACCAGGGAGGCCCCAAAATTTGATGAACTCTTAAAGTCCCTTTGAAATATGAATTTTTCTAGAAAGTGAAGATAGTTTAATACATTGCAGGGTAGAGAAAAGTGAAACCCATTCTTAGGCACTCATTGAACCAGTGACACCTTCTGACATTTTAGAGAGGACCAAGAAATCAATATGATCTGCACTTGTAGTATGTGGAACAAACTGATGAGACATATATTTTCACCCTAAGAAAATATGGCATGACTACTGGACTACCCTGTAAAGACCAATTTGTTGGAGCATTAGCAGTATGACAAAATATGACTGGTCCTGAATTACAGCTTTGTGATTTTTGGTTTCTCTACTTCCCACTTGACCTTTGCAGAGCCAAATAAGTAGGAATGAGTTTAGTTCCCACACTGAACACTTCTAATCTGAACATGCAAAATTGAAGAATTTTATTATAGAAAGGGATGGTATACATTATATTGGTAAGGATTTTCATTGAATTTGTTGTTTTGTTTTGTTTCAGTTGTCCAGTAAGAAAGAAAAGACTAACTGAAGCAGGGCTCTGTGCTAGTCCTAATGACTGGGTTCTTTGTGCACATCAGGATATAGAGGGTCATGGAGTAAATTCAGGCACTAGTGGCCTTTCAGCACCTGGCATGTTAGATGTTATTTGTGAAGAAATGGATCAGACAACTGGAGAACCGCAGTGTGAAGTTGCCCGCAGGAAACTTCAGGAAATTGAAGACAGGTAAGTGGGTGGCGTATATAGCCGACTTGTTACTGTTCCTACGTAAGTATCTGTATTCTTTTAAACTAGTCTAATTCAATATTGGGTGAAACCTTGATCCTTAGCCTCTTAGACTATAAAAATTAGGGAACTTGAAGTATACACGTTAATTGTTAAAGTAAGCTGATATATTTGCTATTTCTGAATATTAATTTTTGGTTTATGGAAGTCTTCAGGGACATAGTCTTCAAATTTGCTTGCTTTGAATGTTAAACTTCTGTTAACTGAAATGTATCATACCTTTTTTCACTAAGGTATAGCATATTTTATGTGATCTTTTGCTGTAGCACATGGCACTTTTATCCTTTCATTTTTTAAATTTTATTCAATTACTAGAATATGTAATAGCTCTACTAAATAACTTTTCTTTCTCTGCTTCTGCTTTTATTAGAATTATTGACGAAGATGAAGAAGTTGAAGCTGATAGAAATGTTACCCATCTCCCCAGCCTTGTCCTTTCTGACACAATGAAAACAGGTTTGAAGAGGGAATTTGATGAAGTATTTACAAAGAAAATGATTGAGTCCATGTGAGTTTGGTTCCTGCTTTGTATTTAGTCTTGGTTGGAATGTTTTCTTAGTCCTTTGGGAGTAAGCAAAATGCCCTGTAAGCAGAAGTTTGCAGTATTCAGGAGTGACTGCCTTATAGACTTTTGAAGTTCTAAAATGCATTATAATCTAATATATGGGAATGGGAGGAATGCCAAGAGAGAGCCCATTTATTCTGATATAAATTCTTATCGTAGGATATGGGAACAACTTTTAAAACTTGTTTACTTGGCTTTCTCAGTTATCCAAGAACATTTTTGGGACCTAGGAAATAAAAGTCTTCCAGCACAGTTATCACAGAGATCACAAACCAGAGCTTATATTCTTATCTCACAGTGTATAGCTCCTCACACCTTCAGGTCTAAGAACCAAATTTGCTGTTAATTTAGACACGGGGGAAATGAACTTAATTATCTGGTTTCTTAAACCATAAGAGTAGAAAAACAGAAACATCAAGTGAGAGCAGAACAGTAGTAGCCATTGTGAGAATGAGAGGAAATTAGAGAGCAAACATAAGGACCTAAAAAGCAATGCAGCCTATGGTCCATTAACATAAGAACTGATGATTGTTCTATAATTCTTATCCTTGCACTTAAGTGATCTCGTCATTATCTTGTAAAATAACATGCAAGTTATAAAGTGCTTTTTAGGTATTGTCTGTCAAAGACTTTAGATAGACATGATCCTCACTGACAATAAGTTTTTAGGTATCTGAAAAATTCTCTTAGAACACCAGTCCAGTGATTCCAGGTAAATGAAGCATTATTGCAAAATTCTCTTAGAACACCAGTCCCAGTGATTCCAGGCAGATGAAGCATTATTACCTTCGGATGTGGTGGGTTCAGCTGCTGCTTGATGTTAGATACAAGGATGCTGCGCTACTCCCCCTACTACCCCCCCAATACCTTGACCTTTATAATTAACTACCAAGCCCTGAGGATGGGAAAATAATTTAGCCAAGAGTAAGACCGTCACATTGCCCTCCAGTCTAAAATATAGCACTATTAACTCTTGGTAGTTTTCCCGAATCTCATCATTTGTGTTTTATTTTGCCTTACTTGCCTTTGAGTCCCAGAAACCACCAAATTAACATTGGATTGGGGGAGTCCAAAGCATTGATGGCATGTTTGTTGCCAGTTTGACAGGCAGATGTTGCTGTTCTGGCTTACTCCAAAATGGGTTATACCTCATAGTTCTACTAAGTAAAAAACATACTGAGATATTTTTAATGTGTTTGTCCAGTATTTTATTTTCATTTATAAAGGTTTAACACAAGCTATAGTCCACACATCTGCTAATATTTTTTTAAAAGATTTATTTATTTATTTATACTTAAAGAACTGGGGTACAGGCCAGAGGTGTGGGGGTGAGAGGATTCACCAGAGACAAAGTGGGGAACAGAACAGGAGATCGACTGAAATACACTGCTGAGAGGAGCAGCAGACTGTGCCATGTGGGTCACCTCCCCAGCCGGGGATTGAACTCATGCTGCAGTGGCTGCGGATAGCTTCATAGGTTGCATCTTAACCCCTTGCACCACCAGGGAGGCCCACATCTGCTAATATTAACCACAATTTAAAAATTAAATGTTGGGCTCCCTGGTGGTGGAGCGGGTTGAGCGACGCACTATGAAGTTGTCTGCAGCCACTGCAGCGCAGGTTTGATTCCCGGCTGGCCAAGGAGAAACCCATATGGCGCAGCGGACCTCTGCTGTCTTGCCCACTGCTCCCCTTAGCAGTGTCTTTGGTCCGTCTGCCTGTTCTGCTCCCTGTTCTGTCTCTGGTGAATTCTCTCACCCTCCCGCGCCTCTGACCTGTACCCCAGTTCTTGTATAAATAAATAAAATCTTAAAAAAAAAAAATTGATTAAAAAAAAGATGAACTTTCATTTTAAAAAAAATTAAAATGTTGAGTCTCTTTCACATTGGATGTTTATATTACTTCTAATCACAGAATCAGTACAACCAGTCTACTTGATTGAAAATGCATGTAAAAATGTAAATTTTTATGTGTTCTAGAGGTTGAATTGGCTTATAATGAATCTCCTATTTTGATGCCATCAGTTCATAATTCTAGATGTTCGGTAACAAGCATTAACTTTTCGACATATATCTTTTATTTTCATGCTCTAAAATTTTGATAAAGATGTATTTTATGTCTTAGGAGCCGTCCTTCCATGGAACTTGTGCTCTGGAAACCTCTCCCTGAACTCCTTTCTGATAAGCCAAAGCCAGCAACTAATACTAAGAACTACACAGGAGAGAGCCAAACTAAACATGCAGCTGCTGGCACTGCCTTCTCTCAGAGAACTGAACTGTTCTTGGAACCTCGGCAAACAGGGCTGCCTATTTACAATAGTTTGGAGACATCTGCTTGCACAGAAGAAGAGATGGAACTCTAGAAGCCAGTTTCTGCACTAAAGTTGTCAAACTGTCGAAGACTCATGTGTAGTCATGAGTCTACTTGTATAGTATATGGACTTGAAAATTTGATGAAACGGGTGTAATAATATATCCACCTGTGATTTGGGGTGGGACTCTCATTTGGGTAGTCATTTCTTGAACTTTTTGCCAACAAAATTTGTCTGAAAGGAAAAGCAGTTTTCTAGGAGACATACTAAATAAAGGGATGTGAAGTTACAGTTTGCAAAGGCAAGTATAGAAGCTATATGTGTAAGGGTGACTTAGGTGATCTCAGATTTTTTTAAACTATTCAGATACCCGGAAAATATTGAGACACATGAGTTGAGAAAGATGCTTTAAGAAAGAAGAATGCTCCTACTATGACACTACCCTGACAGCAACAACTTTGTGGATGTGAGTTACAGTGGTAACTGTGTGAATGGGATAAAGGAGGAAGGAAAGCAGTAACTTAAGTCTTTTGCTAAGAAATTTAACAGAGGCTCTGAAACTTGTATGTTGTTGCCAATACATTGTAGCTATAAAATAGCCAGTAGCATTCTCTGCCTCTGAAAATGCAATGAAAGTACAAAGAAAAGGTGTTTCTTTTGAGGCTTTTATGCCTTGTGCTCTGTTGCTCCTTGGTTTCCCTTGCATAATTGATTAGATCCAGTTATTCAGTAATGTTTACAACTTAATTAACTTTGGTAGTTTAAAAGATTGTGAGGTAACACATGTGCAAATTGGCTGTGGGAAAAATAATCACATTCCTTAGGTAATCTTGAGAAAGTGCTGTGTCAGCCAAACCAAGCATCGACAACTTTAGTTTAAAAAAAGGGTATACCTGGAGTAGTACATTGAGTTCTTAAAGTTAATTCAGAAAGCAGTGACTAAATAATTAACTGAGAACATATGGTCAAGTGACATTTACTGAAATAACCAGTTTGCTAGGTGCTTCAACTATTGTGCAGTAAGCCTAAAAATTATTAGAAGAATAGATTCCTGCCAGCAGGAAATCTTTATTTTAAGAACTTAAACTAGGCTCAAGGAATCCTTTGGGGATGACCCTGATTGAAATTTTTTTTCTCAGGAAGCTCTTCTGTGTGGCAAGGACTTATAAAGTAATATGACAGTTCTTTTAGTGCTACAGAATATTCACTATCACTTATGAAATGAGTGTAATAGTGTTAGACTGGCCCTTTTACCACACAGCAGGAGGCCACCGCATTTCTTTTTGTTTTGTTTTCTGGGTTTCCTCCCTCTGTGGGAATCAGATATCTGTGTAGAAAAAATGGTTTATGCCAAGTAGAGGTGACGTTGGAAACCAGCTCCCAAGTAATTTTGAAGCCAAGTTGAAATCCCTCCCCTTGTTACAGATGGCGTAAAAGATACAAGTCTGTTAATTGGACTATTCCTTCTTTTGCCTGTTGTTCCTGCTTTCTCTGTTTCTGTCTGGATAGTCAGGAAAAGATTTAATGTTTAATATTTAAACAAAATATTTAATGTCTACAAGGTAAAATTACTCAAACTTTAAACCAGTATTGAAACAGTTGGAAACCAGCTAATAGTTTCTTAATCTAAAATTTAGAGATGAATGTAAACTATTCTGTTGAAATGTGCAAGTGTTTGATTCATGCCGTTTGTCCTGCCTTTAAAGTCATTGTTTAATGGGACCAACTTATAAAGTTTGTAGCCTTAAAGAAATCACCATACTAAAATGTTTATTCCTAGTACAAGTCAAAAACGTGAAATGACTGCCCTGAATTTGGAGTTAGTCCCAGTGTTAAGTTGTATTAGGGGAGATGACAGCTTTCCAAAGAAAGACCCCAAATGCATTGTCTTCTGTTAAGAATTGTTAGGCAATTTTCTCATCAGAGGAAAAAAAAAAGAGAGTCTCAAAACAGGGCTCTGATAATGATGGTAAATATAGAAGAGAATTAAGATTCTAGTAAAAGCCAAACAATCTGTTTCAGGAGTTAAATTATCTGACATAATTATTTCTGCAAGAAAAGAGATGTTTAGTGCTCCTTTTAAACATCATCTTGCATATGTTTGTACAAAAATTCATCCTTGTGGTGCTTATTCATCTGAGCCGTCTACACAGTCCCCATGCCTTTGCTTTGTTTTTCTTTTGTAGCATAAAGTTTTTGCTTTTGCCTTAAGGTCTCCCTAGGAAATTAACAAATCTTTTTATTTTGTACAGTTTCTGCAGCATGGATCAAACATTGGCTTATGATGCTAATGTGTGAGGATAAAAAATTACCTAAAGCAGGTGAGCTTTAATGAACAAATGTTTATTTTCTCTGAGTTTGAGTAGAGTGTGTATGTGTGTTTTTTTAAGTATGAAGAAAGTCCAGTTTTAACAAATTAATCGGTCAACTTAAAAAACTGCTACTCGTTCTTAAAAAGGTGCAAATATAAAATTTAGAAAAATAACGAGGATAGGGACTAGAACCATAAAAAGAATGTTTACCAACAGATTCATTAATTATTTTGGATCTGGAATTTGGTTTTGTTTTTCAATGTGATAAGAATGATGCAGTACTAGCAAAGTTCTGAAAGATGCTGTTAGTTTTATTTTAAAATGAGAATATGGTGTTACTGTATTTTATTTTCAATAAAACTAAGTGTTTTGGACATTTTGAGATATTTGTATTCCTGTGCTTAAGTAAATGAAATCAGATATCCTTGCTCTTCTATTAAATAATAGTTAAAGCAGCACTCATATCAGTGACTTTTATTTTGAAGACTATTTTGCCATTCTAAAACCCACAGAATACTTTTTACTCAGACAATCCATTGCCATTGATCTGTCAATCTACACCATTGATTGGCATTGGTGAGTAATCACCAATATTCAGATGGCAGTATTGGCTTGAGTCTTTAAAAATGGTAGAGTCTTAGGAAATAGTATAGTGTTCACATAGCTTGGGACCTTTTGAAGAGAGAACAGGAAAATTCCATGCTGTTAAGTTACTTGGTCATTTTCTTTTTTGAGTTGACAGGTCACTGGGTGGCAGTGTTGCCTGCATATTTACAACTTCTTTTTTTAATAATTTTGGACCTCTGATTTGTGAAGTTACATATGGGTTACAATTATAGAAAACTCAGGATATTATTGTTTTTCACCAAAATTTGGAAATCACAACTGAAACTTATCTAATTTAATGACTTGGAAACTAAAGCCTAAGTAGATAGTGATAATTTAGTCATATATTCCAGTTTCCCAGTTCCAGTATTCTTCCTATCTGACCAGTGGGTTATACAGTCTTTGCAGCAGTACCTAAAATGTCACTTGACTTTCATTGAAGTAATAATAAAGTATGGTTCATGAATGAAGTCTAACATTAAACTCCTTGAGGAAGTATAGTTTTATATATCAGTTTGCTTCAAATATTCTACCAGTGGCATTTTAGGAATGAACTAAATGCAGTTAGAATACAATGTTAGTCTATAGCTCCAGCAAAGGATGTTGTCTTGCAACAGCTCATCAGTGGGCAAATAAGCCAGTCTTCCTGTCCCTTAATAAAAATTTTAGAAGTCACAGGTTGTAGATTTAATTTCTGGGAGTTGAAATTTAACTGATAACATAAAATAATTCCTGGAGTAGAAAAGAATTACCTTCTGCCTACAGTTCTGCCTCTACTGTGCCTGCTCCAGCACTATAGCTAGTAGAAAAAAAAGGAGGTGCACATAGATTAGCTTTACAAGGACCAGGGAAATGGTGTGCAGGCATCTGCCACCCTTTTAATTTCACGCACAATCCTGTTTGATGGGAATCTTGCCTTGGTTTTGCAGGAAACCAAGATTTTTATTTCTTGATTAAACCTTGATTTTTATTTCTTGCCATTAAATTTAGGGTTTCAAATAGATGTTGAAAGGGTTTAAATTTCTTGCCATTAAATTTAGGGTTTCAAATTGAAGATTCGCAAACTGAGCAATATTTAAATTTTCACCCATCTGTGCAGGAAATGAAAACTGATAATACACAGGTTATGTATGGCCTGTGTGTTATTACGGTTAGTACAGCTGCCTCTTTCATATGTTGTCATTGAATGTAAATCACTTGAGCCACAATATGCAATAATTGTGCTCTTTTCTGTAGTTACATGTGCCTACACAATCCCTAAATAGTCTCAGCTTTTTTCAGTTACAGTTCAGGTGATCAGATTTTTAATCATGAGGATAAGTAGAGGATGTCCCTACATCCATGATAAGGAAACTCAGAGCCTACGCAAGCTTGAATAAATGCCTTCATGAGCTAGATGAATGAGGATGTCCTTTAATATCTTGTAAGAGAATGTCTACAGATGTATCCCGGTTAGAGAGATATCAGATATCTGTAGTTTCAGAATTGTTTAGAATTTTTCCTTGAACAGGTTCTTCTGTGAAACAAGTTCTAGCATGTGAGTATGCAAATATAATTCTGAAGAGATAAAACGCTTCCAAAGAATTAGGAGAGAATAGCTAACTTTTGAGTGCTTAGGGTGGATACCTGGCATATACTAAATGCTTATAATGCATCTTCTATTTGACTCCTCTGACAATTTTTTTTTTAAGATTTATTTATGTATACAAGAACTGGGGTACAGGCCAGAGGTGCAGGGGGTGAGGGGATTCACCAGAGTGGGGAACAGAACATACACACTGCTGAGGGGAGCAGCGGGCAAGTCAGGAGAGGTCTGCTGTGCCATGTGGGTACCTCCCTGGCCAGGGATTAAACTTGTGCTGCAGTGGCTCAGGATGGCTTCATAGGTTGAGTCTTAACCCCTTGCACCACCAGGGAGGCCCTCCTCTGGCAATCTTTAGAGATATTGTTATGTACCTTTAAAGATGAGGAAAAAAATATGTCCGGGATTACCTAGCTAACCTGTGGCAAAATTGAGCTAATTAAATCCAGGGAGTTTAAGTCTAGAAAATGCTTTTAATCCTTTAATCTTTAATAATGGCAAGAGAATCTTGGTATTTATGACATGTCCTTTTCTGATAAAGATGGTATAGTGAAACAGTGGGTAAGGGTTCAACTCTATCACTTACTAAAATACTGATCAGGGCCTCCCTGGCAGTACAGGGGTTCAAGACTCAGGGTTATCAAGCTACCACCAGCCATTGCAGTATGAGTTGATCCCCAAGCAGGGAGCTAATCCACATGGTGCAGCAGACCTCTCCTGTCTCGTCCACTGCTTCCCTCAGCAGTGTATTCCAGATCTGCCTGTTCTCCCTACTCTGTCTCTGGTGAATCCTCTCACCACCACCCCTGCACCACCACCTACACCCCAGTTCTTGTATGCATAAATTAAAAAAATAAAAATTTTTAAAAACACTAAATACTGATCAGTGTGTAAAGAAACTGTCTCTAGTAACTACAGAGAGATTGTATCACTTATGACAGGACTTGAAGGCAATAATTAAAGGGGGAAAACCTTCAGTCAATTTAAAAAGTGGCATGTTTACTAAAGTTAGGTAAATCTCTATCATGACAAATACGAAACACCTAGAGAACACATTAACAAAAGGTCCAAGAAGGAGTCAAAGAACAAAGACATTGCATTGCACTTTTTAATTGCACAGGTAGTTTTAAATAAATGGAGAAAGCACCTTCCAAGGCTACACTAGCAGAGAAAGATTCCATCAAGCATTTACATAGTAAATTTCTATAATTTTTACAAAAGATTCTTGATCTTTACTTGAACTATACATGAGGGAAAAGCAGCCCCCTCAAATAGGTGTTCTCTGCTTGCGAAGCAAACTAAAGAACCTAAAATCGGAGGCAAGCCTGGGACGTTCAGAAGGGGCAGTGAAATTAAAAGGGTCATTCATAAATTCCATGTCTAAGACACTTGTCCAATGACCCTTACACACAAGTATTTTAGAGCAAACTACTACCCTTAAGGTACAACCTCAAAAGCTGTAAATCTGAATTATAGTAATATGTCTGAGTACCTTGGATTGGTGAATGTCAAAAGACAATACTTGGGGCGACCTATGAGGTTTGAATAGACAAATACTTTAGAGGAATTCTCTAGGACTATACACCCTCTACTTTGGTGTTTGAATGAAGCAGACAGACTTCTCTGCTATCCTTCAGGCAGTGTGATAGTCAAGGAAAAGGGCAACAGTATTGGATCACTTTTAGACACTAATCAGCTGGGGAAAGAGTTCATTGGCAAAACTGTCCTCCCAAGAATGGTCTGCACCAAGCAGGGAGGACATGTCGCTGAAGGGGGAAGGGGAGCCCTCATATCTACAGTCACTATATGTGTCCGGTAGGCAGGAAGATGGCTTCGGGGAGTGGCTGGATGAAAGTAGATCTGAGATACCCAGCTCTGGAATGAAGTCATTGTCTGCAAGTTCTTCCTTCACTGAGACAGTGAATTCAGGGTGATCTTTCTCTGTGGGGCTGAAAGGTGCTTCCTCAATTTTCACTACCACATTAGCTTGGCTCTCTGTCTCAGAGGGTATCTCTAAGACTAAGGGCTTGGTATATACGTGGTCAAAACGAATTAGTTCATTAATGGCTTCCAGCTTGGCTGATGACGTCCCCAGTGGTGGAGAAGGGGAGGCTGGTAAGGAACTGGGTCCTTCTGGGCAGACCTCTGGGAGCTGCTCCAGGCTTGTAGACTCTGGGGAAGGACATCTGAAGAACATGACTGGGTCCAAGTTGAACAGAATGCCCAACAGGATATCAGACTGCAAAAGGCAAAAATTAAACTGAGTCCAAGTATTAGCTTACAACTGACATTCTACCTAGAACAGTTAGTACTAGGTGCCATAACACAGTAATACAAATTAATCGTTATATCATAGGAAAACCTCCAGTACCCATCAGACTTTAGTCTATTTATGACACTACCTGACTCTCTGTCATAAATCACCTGCAAATAGGAAGGTAGTCTATGTTCACCTCTAGCCCAACCAAAACTAACTTCTGCCCTCATCTATGTGGCTACGGGTGTCAGGTATCAAATCTGAATACCCCCTACCTCAGAGTCCGAAGAGTCAACACTGTCAGAATCCATGGGGAGAGGTTCTGGAGGGGTGACAACTGGGCCTGCACCTGCTGCAGAGGTGCACGTAGTCTGAGTGCTGCGGACTCAGCAGACCCGGCCACTGGCCTCACTCCATTCCCCTGAGAGGAAAGACCAAAGTCAGTACACAGCTGAGAATCCCCAAATAAATGCTCACCAGGCACTCGTGATTCTCAACTTACAAGAAAGCTAGAAAATTACTCTTTAGAGTGAACTCTTTTCCTTACCTTTATTATTATTTCCATTTTCTTGAGTCTTCCTCAAGAAGAGATGAGAAAAGGAATGTAAGACTAACTTGTCATTGTGATCTTCTGTGCAATGAGATATTTTTCCTCCCAAGCAAAGATTCAGGCAGGACTGATACTCTTTAATGCTATCTTAATGATATCATTATTTTTCTTATTTTCTTTCTTATTCTGGTTCTCCTTAATATTGGCATGGTTCAGCATATTAGCAATTAGCATTTTGTTATAGAGAGCCATGTAGCTTATTTTAATTTTGAGGATTTAGTACTATTCACTACACACTTGAAAAATAAGTGTTACTGAAGAAACAGGTGATGTTATTTAGAACCAGTTCCCACACATACAAAGACTTACCTTGGTCTCTGCCTCCTCTTCCGTAACCAGGGCATCCATCCCTAAGCGCTGTCTTAACTCCTGGTTCTCAACTACAAGGCCATGAGTTTTCTCTCTTAAAAGCTGGTTTTCTAGCAAAAGTTTCTGATTCTAGAAGAAAATACACAAGAGGCTATTAAGACATCTAATTCTTTCATGTACAAATCCACCATGTATTTATTTCAACTGTGTAAATTAAGTATACTTTGGCTAAAAACCACCTGCAAAAGAGGTTTTAACATGAAAAATGAATAACCTCTTATGTGCCAAATCCTGATTATCAAGTCTTTTCTTGAAGCCTACCAAATTTGAAAGTTTCTTTAAAGAATGACTCAAATCTTCTGCATGGCTTATCAGTTTCCAGAGAGTTATCATTTCAGTCTTACCTTTTGTAGGAGGGAAAGAAATCCAGTCAAGCATTTTTAATTATCTATACATTTAACCAAGACATGGGGCAAGTCTTCTATAAACATAATAGTTTTCCTCCCAAATAATCCTTAACGATTCTAAAAACTGAATCCTCTAATAGTTTACTCCTCTTCTGGCCACTGAAATCAACTAAGTTTTAGGTGATGTTACTGAGAAATAAATATAAATGACGATATAAATTTGAAATCATGCCAACCCAAAGATTGAGTGCTGTAGGAACAATTAAAAGTGAGGTTAAAAAAAGCAGTTTCACTACAATTGGTTTCCTCTTTGACCTTTGGAAAACTGTGTTTATATAGTTGTTCACAATAAATATTAGAAGGCAAGGCTGTAAATATGGAAAATTAGCTATCTAGGAAGTGCCAGTTCACAGGGTCACAACATGATGCCTCCGAGTAATACAGACCTCAGTAAAGGGTGACTTTTGGTTTAAGGTAGATATATTTTTAGAAAGATCTTATCTTAAACTGGCAGATAATTAAATTGGTGGACCACAAAATCAAAGTGTTTTTAAAAAAGCCATTCAAGATGTGCAACTGGCAGCAATCTATGATTAGTTAACAGGGTGGAAGGGACCCTAAGTGAACTTTTGGCCATACCAGAATGGGTCTCAAGTTTAAGCAATAATTTTCTGTCTACTTTTATTAATTGCTTCGTACTAATCCCATAAACACTGTAATAATGTTATAATTCACAACTCTGAGATAGATCTAGCATTAAATGCCAGAGGGTTCATCACTTGTGCTCTCATCAAGCTTCATCACTTAGCCAACTATAGCCTTTAACTTAGTTTAACTCTTAATTACATGTTCAATTGCATTCTGAAAGGGCTGAAACAATTTGCATTGGGTAGCAAATATCAGAACATTCACTAAGGAAGGATATACAATGGATCAAAGGCATGAGGCTGATATTTACCTCTTCTTCCAAATCTACTACTTGTTGTTCCAGCTCACTCATTCGAGCTTTTTTTCTGTCTCTGGCAGTCTGAGCTGCTACTCTGTTTTTCAGTTTCCTAAAAACAGAAGGAACATACCACACTGAGTCATCTCAAACCTTCTATCTTTATTTGAAAACTTGGCCAGCTGGTGCTTTCATTTTAATTTACAGTATAAGGTAGACTAGCAGCAAAATACACTTCAGGCTCCTCCTCTCGGCAACACAAAAACAATACGGCTTTCCAGTTGCTCCAGCTTGAAGATCTGCTTTTCTCTCTCCCGTATTGCGTCACCCACCTCAGTGGATCTCATCCACCCAGGCCACAGGACGAGGGCCGGAAACAAACACTATCCATCTTGCATCATAAAAAACTCTCCTCCTCCCTTTCTACTCCCCCGTTGCTTCCTGACTCAGCTACCCGACATAATTACCGCAAACATGATCCAACCTGGATTGATTAAACCTAGTGAAGGCTGCAATAGCCCCATAAACCCACTATCCCAAATCCACCTCTATAAGGGAGAGGCTAATTTCACCCAGCGGTCAGGATCCTAGACAATCCCCTGAAGGTCCGGGCCGCGTCTACTCGAGAAGCACTTAATATGTCACAAAGGGTGCACTGATCGGAAAAGAATGAACATTTGAGGTCTACGTCCTGGCATTGCTCAATCTTCCTAACGACCTCATGAAGCCGATTTTAAGGACGCGGAGTTTGACGCTGAGTCTTAACTACCTCACAGCCCTCTCAACTGCTGTCATTTCAGCTGTCCCTCCGAAAAAGTAGGGAACCCAAAAGGACCCCATGTTACAGCCCAAGTTCAGAGACGCTGAATGACCAACCTACGGTCACCCAGCATGAGGGCTTGGAAGCCAGGCGGCCGCACACCCACTTCTACCTATTTCTATGATGAGAAAAAAGAAGGAAATGAGGAGGGAAAAACAAAAAATAAGGCCTGGGCAGCCCCGGACTACAAGCAGCGCCGCAGATCCGGTCAGTCCAGCCGGCCCGCCCCGCCCCGCCCGCGCCACGCTGGCACCGACGCCGCCAGGCCGGGCAGCCCCAGCGCGGGGGGCGGCAGCGCGCGGCCCGGGCCCGGGCCCGGGCCCCTCTCCCGCTCGGACGGCTCCCACCCCGGCCCTCGCCCACCTGCGCAGCGCCTTCTCCTCGGGGCTCAGGTGCGTGAGGCGCTGCCGCTTGCGGGCCTGGGGGGCACCTTCGCTCGCCGCCTCCAGGCTGGCCCCTCGCTGGGCCGGCACCATGAGCGGCAGCGTCCCGCCGGCCGGGGCTCCGGCGGCGGCGGCGGGCTTGCCGGACAGAAGCAGCACTTTCGCGGCCCCGGCGGCCGGCCCCTGCGCGGTCGCCACCACCACCATGACGGGAGCGCGTCTGCCCCGGCGCACGCCGCCACCGCCCTGCGCGCCGGCCGGCCGCGCCCAGCCTTTCTACGGTCGTGGCCTTTCCTGATTGGTCACCGCTGCGTGACGCGCAGCCCGTCTCGGCGCCCATTGGTCCGACCGGCACCGAGGGGGCGGGGGCAGGCTGTCCAGCGTGGCGACCGCAGCCGGGGTGGGGGCCGCGGCACTTCCCGCCGGGGCGCGGGGCCGGGGCCGGGGCCGGGGGCGCGGGGCGGCGCCGGCTTGGGAGCCAGAGCCCGGAGCCAGGCGGAATCCTTCAGCCGGTGCACTGACACGCCGAGCGATTTCCAGAGTGACGAGTTTTCACCGCAGTCTGACGACGTTGATCTCGTTGCCCCCCTCCCACCCCCCGAGCCCCGAGTGCAGCGTAGAGCGAGTCGGACCTCGGGTTAGGAAAAAACCTGAAAAATTATTCCACGAACTAAGGTTCTAGGGAACGAGATTTCTTGTTGTGCAGCTTGTCTTCGCTCAAAGCGAAGGCTTAAAGATAGGTGGCAGGAATAATGCAACCTGATTTTAATTTGCATTTCTAAGCTTTCAGCTGTGACCGTGCATCGCTATTATCTTATTAAAGAGAAAAAAAATGTCACGTTTTCAAACGTGGGTACCGGGGTCCACCCACTGCCTCTTGGCGCGCGGGGAGCTGCGGGGGCTCCTGAGGGGTGGTTGGGGCCTCGGTGGGGGGCGTCGGCCTGTGCGAGATGGGGACCAGCAGGCTGCAGCTTGGGGACAAGTTAAACGCGAATATTAAGATGCAGGAATCTGAGAAAACACATCCCAACGGGCACGTTCACCTTTTTGAACCAAATTCAAAAGGTTGTGTTCCCTAGAAATAGAAAACAATACACTCGTTAACAAGCAGGTATTGCTTCCTTTGCGGATGCAAAAGTTAGTAAAAATAGATTAGAAATATGCAAAATAAAAAGTTAAAAATTAAACTAGAACTGTTCTGGGTAATTCTTCAGTGTTATTGAACAAGATCATCTCTTCAGTTGCATTTTGGTGGGGGAGAAGGAACTAAAGCAATTCAGACTCTTGATAAAGTACCCTATTTCAGAGGAACCATTTCCGTTATTCCCAGTACTGCACCACGAGTTTCCTAACACTTATTTTCTTAGTGCACATTGACAGAGCGAAATCAGTGACTAAGCAGATGGTGGCTCTGCTCAGGGCGAGCTTGAGCTGTCTGGGTCTTAAAGGGCCTGTAGGAGACTCACTAATGACTTCTGGGGTCTTTTGGAAGAAGTCTTTGGAGGGCTTCTGGTGTAGACTTACAGGTTTATATTAAAAGACCTTGGAAAACTGTAAAGGTTCTGAGAAAAGTCGCCTAGTTGTCTTGCAATCTTTTTTTTTTTTTTTTAAGATTGATTTATTTATGCATACAGGAGCTGGGGCACAGGCCAGAGATGGGTGTGTGTGTGTGAGAGAGAGGATTCACCAGAGACAGAGTGGGGAACAGAACAGGCAGATAGACCAAGTACACTGATGAGGGGAGCAGTGGGCAAGTCAGGAGAGGTCTGCTGTGCCATGTGGGTTACTCCCTAGCCAGTCACGCATTGAACTCATGCTGCAGAGGCTGTGGATTGCTTCATAGTGCAGTGCTTAACCCCTTGCTCCACCAGGCAGGCCCTGTCTTGCAATCTTTTTATTAACATTATGGTCTGACACTGTAAGAAATCCCACTGAAACCCACAGAAATTTAAATCATTTAGGCATTAAAAAAAGATAAAATGCTAGAAGCCCCTATTAGTCCAGCAGCTTAAAAATGAGTAACTATGTGGAGAAAGCACAAGATGGTGGGGCAGAGGAGAAAAGATGGATGAATTGCATTTTGGTCTTTGTTAATGGGATAGAAAGGCTATGTTGAAATTGGCTCCCCATCTTTGCTTTCAAGGATTTTTTTCTTTTGGTAAACACTTAAAATCATACCCAAAGACAGTAATTGGACCCAGTGAATGTAAGCTGTCCATGAAGTCTTGAACACTCAAGTTCAAACCTTTGAACAATTTTATATCCTCTCTGTAAGATTAATTTGATAATTCTTACATCATATCTGTTAATATTTTATAACATTTACTAGGCACTTGTGATAAGAGTTATAAAATACAAAGTTAGGCTTTGTGAAATGCAAGAAAGAGTGATGAGAAACAATAAAACATTCCATCTAAGTGTCAATGTAAAAAAATTTTTAAGAGCTTCTGTAATATAATAGCCAATAACCACATGTGACTGCTGTGAATGAAAATGTATTGCAAGTGTGAAATACAGACTGAGTTTAAAGACTTACTGTGAAAAAATATATAAAATGTCATTGATCATTTTTAATATTGATAATTTGTTGAAATGGATAGTATGTTTGACATTTTGAGATAGAAATTTTTTGGAGATTTATTTTTATTTGTGCATGCATGCAAGAACTGGGGTGAGGCCGGAGGTGCAGGGCATGGTGAGAATATTGACCAGAAGCAGAATGGGGAGCAGAATAGATGCATCTACTGAAATACATTGCTGAAGGGAGCAGCGGGCAGGACAGAGATGTCTGCTTCATCATGTGGGTCAGCTCCCTGGCCAGAGATCAAATTCATGCTGCAGTGGCTGGTGATAGCTTGCTAGCACTGAGACTTTAACCCCTCTGCCACCAGGAAGGCCCATGTTTAGCAATATTAACATCAGACAAAAAAGAATTTGAGGGGCCTCCCTGGTGGCCTAGGGGTTAAATCTCAGCACTATCACCACTACTGGACAGGATGCTGACCCACGTATGGCAGACCTCTCCTGTCTCGCCTGCTGCTCCCCTTAGCAGTGTATTTCAGTCAGTCTGCCTGTTCTGTTCCCCATTCTGTCTCTGGTGAATCCTCTCACATCCCCCACCCCTGCACCTCTGGTCTACACCCCAGTTCTTCTACATAAAAATTAAAAAAAAGAAAAAGAAAAAGGCAAAGAAGCATGTTTCATGTTGATTAAAGGTACAAATTATTAATCATAATCTTCATAAACACAGTAACATACTTTTGAAATGTATAAAACATATAAAATGTGTAAAACAAAAACAGAAAACAAGTGGTGAATGGGCCTCCCTGGTGGCGTAAGGGGTTAAAGCACAGCTCTGTGAAGCTGTCCGCAGCCTCTGCAGCACAAGTTCAATGCACAGCCAGGGAGTTAAAGCACATGGCACAGCAGGCCTCTCCTGTCTAGCCCACTGCTCCCCTCAACAGTGTGTTGCAGTCAGTCTGCCTGTTCTGTTCCCCACTAACTCTGGTGAATCCTCTCAGCCACCCCCCCCCCCGTAACTCTGGCCTGTACCCCAGTTCTTGTATGCATAAATAAATAAATCTTTAAAAAAAAAACAACCCTCTAATTTAAAAAAAAAGAAAGCAAATGGTGAAAATGATAGGTCCACAAAACCCGTAATCACAAATGAAGACAAAATACCTCTCTTGGGATCAATAGATGGATCAAATAATAAATGACTTGAATATCATGACCAACACGTTTGATCTAATAGAGAACTTTCCTTCCAACCCAAATTTTTTTTCATATGAGAAACATTCACAAAATCTGATCCCATCTTACTTCTGAAGAGTGTATTTGAGGTTTAGAAATGGAATTATTTTAGGTTTTGACTTTTGGGACTAAAACTGCTGAGCATTTGCATACAAATCTTTGTGTGCAAGATATGTCCATATTTTCATCTCTCTAGGTAAATACCTGTGAGTTAAATTTCTAATCATGTGGTAGGTGTTTAACTTCTTTAGAAACTGCCAATTTTCCAAAGTAGTTTTGTCATTTTACTTCTTACCAGCTAATAGTGCCTTCTTTTTTTATTGACTCTTTTTCACCTTAGCAGTTTTATTTTTGCACAGAAGAATAGGGTGTACGCCTGAGGTGCAGGGGGGTGAGAGGATTCACCAGAGACAGAGTGGGGAGCAGAACAGGGGATCTACTGAAATTCACTGCTGAGGGGAGCAGCAGGCAAGGCAGGAGAGGTCTGCTGCATCTAAAGTGGGCCAGCTCCCTGGCCAGGGATAAAACTCAGGCCATAGTAAACAGCGACAGGGAAGCCCAAGTAGTGCTTTCTTACATTGCAATTGCTGATTGTTATTTAACTCTTTCATTGCTACCCACCCAACTTTTTCTTTCTTTGATGTATCTTATTTCTAAATGAATTTCAACAAGCTCATTTAAATAAGAAACCATATGTTACATGTTTTATATCTTCTGTGTTTAGTATAGTGCTGAGTACACACATACCAGGAATTCAATAAATATTTTTGAATGATTATGAACTGTTAGATTGTCTGCAATGTGCTTTATATGACAAAACAGCTTTTAAATTACCCTGGGAGATTGCTACATAATAGCATTTTCTTGCAATTTCACTTAAGTTTGGTCTATCTTGAACTCATTACAAAAGCCTGGAATGTGATCATTTTAAGTCAGTAAGGCAGCATTTCTAGTTACCTACACAGCATCTATTCTACTTTTCTTTCTGATTAAATTTTTTTGGTTAATTTTGTTTGGGGAACTGAAGCTGAAAATTCCCTTGCATAAATAAATACTTTAAAAAAATTCCCTTGAAACTCAGGACAACCATGAAATGCAATTTGGGTCAATATAAAACAGAAGTTCTAGGCAGAGAGCATTCCAGGAAAGTTTACTAAACACAGAAGACAAAAATGGGATGCCTTTCACCTTTTTCCTGCTGCTCTCTCCCCCACCCCCACCCACAGTCTATTCTTGCCTGGAATGCTGATAAGATGTCAAAAGATTGAGAAGACTCAGCAGCTCTCGGCAAGCATGAGGAAGGAAGCCACATGCTAAGGATGTCACAGAGAGGAGGAGTCTGGGGCTGGGTTCTTGTTGGTATCATGGAATGGCCATCTAGACCCCACTAGCTCTAGACTGCCAATTTCCATGAGAAATAAAAATATCATGGTGGCTGGGTTCTTGATACATGC